CTTTAGTGGCTCCTCCTTAGTGATGTTCAAGCTTTGGGCCAAGTCCCAAGTGTCCACCCACGTCGTTCTGTTCCTTCAGTGTCCTCTGGTGCTAGCCTTTTCCTTCCAGGCCTCTGACCAGCCAGCCAATCAACCACTGGACATCAGCGGTGAACACAGTGATATTCTCGCTTGGGCCCCTTCCTTTCTACGTACAAAGCATGGAACTAGTGCTCTATCTGAAATGCTTTCTATTGGAAGGATTTCCTGTCATCACTGTCCTTCAGAGCCATCCATGAGTAGGGCTGTAACACAGTTGTCCATTTTTATCTGTACTCACACAGCAGCCCTACCCATGTATAAAAGCAGCTCAGACTTTGTCCTAAGGTAAGGGAGATGCCAGGTGACATGGTGGGCAGTGTGAGTTGTGCTACCTGCATGTGTAATCCTAGCACTTGGGAGACTGAGACAAGAAGACTGCTGTGAGTTCATGGCCAGCCTAGATTACATAGCAAGACCCTATTAAAAAAACATATAAACTTAGTATTCCTATGTCATCAGTGAATGGTTATCCAATTGGATGTCTCTGGGTCTCTCAGTGGAAAGACGGGTGAATCATAACCACTGTTGGGTTTTCATCCTGGGAACTCAGTCTCCCCTTCAGTCAGTGGCATCTGGGTTTGAAAACTTACTCAAGGGCTGGGGATTTAGCTCAGTAGGCATAAGTGCCTGCCTTGCAAGCAGGCAGTCATGAGTTCGATCCCTGGTATCGGTAAAAACGAAAAAGACAAAAAAAAAGAAAAGTTACTCAGGTCCCACTGTTGGATAAGGGATTATGATCATTGTTTGAGAAAACTGCTCTCATACTTAGTTACATTTCTTTGTGCCTATTGATCTGTAGCTTTGTTGGCTGTCATTCAGTCTGCCCTTAAAGTCACGGTGTTCTAACAACCATATCCATAGCACTTGGTTTCTGCTTGCTGTGTGATAACAGAACACATCTTTTTTCTTTTTGAATGATTGAGCACAACCATCTTCTGTATTGTCAGGGAATCTATATGCCCCATGGTTAACCATATGTGAACTCAGTTTTGTAATGATATATTTTATTTTATTAGTCTTTTTGAAACAGGGTCTTGCTATGCAATTCAGGTTGGCCTTGAGCTCACTTTGTAGCTCAGGCTGGTCTCAAACTTGCAAAAATCCTCCTGCCTCAGCCTCCCAAGTGCTGGGATTACAGACGTGTGCCACCATGCTCAGCTATAATGATATATTTCAGCACGAACCCTGGTCTGGAGGGAAGCCACAACACCAGCTCATTCTTTATTGCCCAGGCTAATATGCCTTCCTTGGAAGATTCTTTGTGGGTTTTAAGGGCTGTCATGGTATGTGCAGTTTTATCAGTCTCAGGGAAATGGCAGAGGTCAGACAATCCTCCTGCGAACCAAAGAACATCACCAGTAAACCACCATAACCTGTGTTAGTGTGAGAGCTGCCATAACAAAGTCCAAAGTGGGGTGGTGTGAACAATGGAAAATCTGGTTCACAGTACTGGAGGCTAAAAGCCTGGGCGTGAGGTGTAGACGAAATGGCTCTATCCGAGGGCTGTAAGTGAAAGATCTCATCTAGGCCCCTCTTCTTAACTGGCAGTAGTCATCTGCTCCTGTCTTTATATTTCTTTCTCTTTATCCATTTCTCTCTGTCCAAATTTTCTATTCTTATAGGCACAATAGTCATATTGCATAAGGGCCCAAGTCCACTCCAGTAGGACCCCACACTTCATAGCTGCAGAGACCTATTTCCAAATATGGTTATTTTCTGAGGTACTGGCGTCAGGACTTCAACTCATGAATTTTGGAAGACAGTGTCTCATACTTAACAATATGCATGGCAGCAGTGTTATAATGTATGTCATTAAAAAATTCCTGAATTCTCTCTTTGGGAGTCAGATGCTGTCACCCAGGGTGCTGGCCAGGGTGCCACTACCTTCTGCACCATGGGCTGCACAGGTGAGTCCCTGTCCTCTCAGTGCTGTGGCTGGTGTGAGCTGTCATATGGGATATTCACCTGAGCCCCAAGTGACACTGGCTATAACACGGCCCTTAAGGGGCCATGTAACCAGCTTGAGATGGTTACAAAGGCTGGCCACTCACCAAATATGGAGTAACTTTGCCATGCAGATATGAAAGGAAGGACAATTGAGAAAACAGCAAGAAGTTGTGGTGATGAGTTTTTAAAACTTGCTTTTTCTAAACCTGTTGAGCATGTTGAAAACCAACACTAAACAGTATACAAGATGGAAAGACTTCAGTGTTAGCTTTCCTTAAAAATCTCATTTTAGCTGTCTGTCAATCAGCCTCAAACCCAGTGTCAGACAGCTGGGATCTGAGTAAGGCAGTAAGTAATAACAGTGACAGGGTCTGCACTGGGATACCTCAGTTGTTTTTCAGACTGAGTTTTTTCGGTAGAGCTGACACGCTCCGCAGCCTGCAGAGTACAGAGACCACTAGGTGGCGCTCTGTGCCCACACCAACTTATCAGCCCTGTATACACAAATCTGCTGCAAAAGTTGGAGCAGGAGAGGAAAGACACAAATAAAATCCCCTTGGGTTCCAGTCATAGTAATACCAATGCATTCATAAAATACATACTTAAGCCTACGCAGAGATATACATTAAGTACCAAATAACAATGCTTTGGTCAGTTATGGATCACAAATACAAGTGGCCTGTTTGTTCACTATGCTGATGTTAACGAGACTACTGAGTTGCCAAAGGAAAAGTGGAGGACGTAGAACGCAGTACAGTACAAAGGACGATGGTTGTGTATCTTATTTACTGTACTATACTTTTAATCATTGTTTTAGAGTGTTTTCTTTCCACTGATATGTAAATGGTATGCAGCAGGCTCCCACTTCTGTATTTACCTTATATCTTGATGGCCTCAAAAGGCCACCCCGAGTGGCTGACCTGTGCCACCAAGGTCGGTGGAAACAGAGGCTGTGGGGTTCCCACGAGGAGACTGCCTCGCGATGCAGCTCTCAGGACGCATCCCTATGTTACGTGACCCACGACTGCAGTGTTTCTCCTGCACATGTAGAACCCAGGAGGGCAAAGGGTCTGAGACCCACGCAATATCATTTGACCTTGGGTGCTTTTCTTCTGTCACATTTGGAAAGTGGATCAAACAAGTCAGTGGAATTTAATGCGCTCAGCAGGTCCATTCAGCCAGGGGCATTCTTGCCCCACCCCCACCTCTCCACTCTGCTACCTTTATTCAGGTCGCAGTGTCTCCCCCGCCCCGCCCCCCCCCCCATTCACAACAGCTTCCTGCTGGGTCTTTTTCTTCTAGTCTCTTCTGCATTCTTGCAGAATGATTTCTTAAACACCAAATCTTTTTTTTTTCCCCCCTGGGGATCGAACTCATAACCTTGTGCTTGCCAGGCAGGCGCTGTGCCCCTGAGCTAAATCCCCAGCCTCTAAAGACCAAATCCTGTCGTGTCAGGTTTTTGCCCTAAAACCTTTGGGACTCTCCACTGCCTAAGGCACCAGTCTGTAAATTGGGGTATGTGACCCCCAGGAGGCAGGCAAGCAAAGCAATTTATTAAAACCTAGGGAAAAAAGGAACTATTTATATTTACCTATTATTACCTTTAAACATTAACATTTTCTGTAGGCTTTATTTATACAATAATGTGTATTGTTTTTCACATAGACACAGTTTTTGCAAGAGATGTGGGTTCACACTCATTATCAGAAGTGTCTGGAGACCTTAAAAGTGACATCCAAACATTTTAGAATTGCACATAGGCCTTTTGGATACGAATCAAGTGTACCTGTAGGAAGTTACCCAGTTAGAAGCATTCACACCTCTGTGCACTGAAGACGTTCCACGCTCTGGGTGCGCCTCCCTAGGCAGCAGCCCCTCCCTCCCCCACAGGCTGCTCAGCTGAGCCATATTTACTCCTTTATGTTGCCTCTTTTTTACCATGTCACAAGGGATAAAACGTGCCCACATGCACACACAAAAACACGCACACATGTGTGTGCACACAAACACATGCACACGTACACACACATGCAGGCAAACTGCAGTTGTACAGCAGCTGTTATATGAAGGCCATCGGGGTGTCATGTCAGCTCATCTCTCCTTTAGGTGACCAAACTCATCCTGCTTTGCCTGGGACTTCCTAGATTTTAGCTCTGAAGTACTGCGTCCCAGGAAATCCTTCATTCCCAGGCAAATCAAGACAGTTTGTCACCTACACAATAATCCCATTATACAGATAAGAAAAATATAGCTCAAAAAAAAGTTCTGAAAACTTAGTCCAGCTTGCAAAGTTAATTAGCTGTGTGCTTCTGCAAGTCAGTGCCCTTCCCACCTCTTCATGGGCAGGAGCAACATCCTACTCAGCCTGGTATCTTCCAGCCTTCTAGGAGTCTTGGTGTACATTAACAATTTGGCAAAAAAATGAGGAATAAACTCATCCATAAAAACCAAGCAGTTACTAGAGGGCAACACAGCAGGCTAACCAAGCCTCCTTCCCTGTGGTACCTCACAGTCATATAATGCTGGAAACTTGGGCCCAAAGAGGACAGAGGACTTGCCCAAGGTCTCGGTCCTGGGAAGATGGGGAGCAGGAGCAGAGCTTGGACTTTCTGGCAGAGGGAAGAGCAGGAGGCAACTGGGCTGTTCTCAACATCTAGGGAAAACACGATAAGCAGCTCTGAATGACACTATTTCAAAACTCTTCCTTTCTTAAAGGAAAAGTAGCACTGTCAAAAAGGAGAGTCCTCACATCTGGAGGGCTTTGCAGAAGTCCCGCCTTTGTCTCCTAGGAAGATGCCTTGTTTTCTGTCTGCCCTACCCCCTTACCTTGGCCAGCCCCACAGGCTCAAGCTTTGAGTCCAAAACAATCTGGCATCTCTGAAATGGAATGACTGTTTACAGACAAAGTGGCCAGGCACCACCAGCCAGAGAAGGGACAGTGCCCCACCCCCATGCCTGCTGGCTCTGAAAAAATGCCTGTTTATCTCCATTTTGATGGCAGCTCTTGGCTTTCAGGCCCTATTTGTGCTTTGTCCCTGATCCTAATTGACCTATTGGGTTATGAGGGGACTTTCAGCCCCAGGCAAATGGGTTTTCATGCACAATGGAAAACATGGGTCCTCTGGGCCCTGGGCTGGGCCAGCACTTTGACCTTGGCCTCTCAAGGGAAAGTGTGGCCGTGAACTCCACCCACACCCACCAACAAAGGAGTCCAGGGCAAATGCTAGGGCTAAGGATGCAAAGCTGATGGCCTGTTCTCTTTTCTTTCTGGACCACTGGGCTGTTTCCTGGAGAGGACAGAGGAGGAGGGAAGGCATCATTGCTCTGTCCTTGCCTAAGCAATCTGCAGTTCCCCACCTGGGCTGCTGCAGGAGGCTGTAGGCTGGGCCACCAAGGACACAAGGGAGCATGTTCCAGGTACTCGGTACAGCTGGGGCAGCAGGGTGGCTCAGGCCTCCTGAGAGCTGGGGTCATTCTTAGTCCTCATGCGATCCGTGAAGAGCCCCAGCCAGCAGCAGGATTGCTGGGGACACAGGAGGTGGAAGCTGAGCACAGACAGGACTCTTACAAGCCTGATGGATGGAAGTGGAGGGCTGAGTGGGGCTTTCCTGGCATTCCACCGCCCCTTCGGAACTGTGGGTGCTGTTCTTGAGTTTCCAGGAAGAATGGCACCCCTGGGAATGGTTACTGCTGGCACAGACCTCAGCTGTGGCTTACCCGGAAGCTGCTCTGGGAAAGTGAACTCCCAGTCACCTTAGCCATCAGTGCTTGGGGGTGTGCCAGAATTGTTGCCCGCTGCTAGGACAGGCAGACACGGGAAAGGTTGGTCAGAGCCTGCAGGGACCTCCCCAGCAGTCCCGCCAGCTCTGAGGGAGCCTCATCCCAAGCAGGCCTGTCACAGGGTACCTTCCCTGTCATGGGGACTTGAAGCCCAAGAGTAGGTGCGTGGCCAGTGAGGTCCAGTCCCCTGCTCCCTCTGCAGCATTTTGTGTCCTTTGCCTCTATGATGGTTACCATGGCTTCTCCAATATCCACCCACAATTACCACAGGCCTGGCTTGTGACTAACACTAACAAAGCAATGGTGAAAACCACAGTTCACAAGCAGGGGATTGGAAAGAGGCCAGAGAAGAGAGGCTGCTAATCAGGTGAAGGGGGAAGTTTAGGTGTTGGGAGGGCACCTGGAAGAGGGAGTCCAGCACAGGATGTGGGGCGGATGGGTGTCCTGAGGTGCTGGGAGCTGGGGCATGAGGAAGGTCACTCCAGCAGGAGAGAGGAGATGCGGGAAGAGAAGGCCATACCTGCTGGCCAGAGCTCACAAGTGTGGGAACATCATCTAGTTCATGGATGAATCCCCATGAGTAGCCCAAGAATCCTGGTGCCACAAGGCCTCCCTTGAGAGCTGGCTCTTGAGCAAATATGTCCCAAGGCCTGGAACTGAGTGCATACTGATTTCAGCTCGGTTAGAGAGGAGCATCTGTGTGCATCTGCAGAGTGTGACATGGGGACAGAGTGGCAACCAGAGGAGAGGCTGCAGCAGGTGCACAGCATCAGATCCAGAGGCACCTGGTGAGCACCTGGGTATTTTGCCTTTCTTCTGAGGGTCAATGGCAGAATGGGACTGTGACCTTTAATCCTGATATGCTGACTTCATTTGATTAAGAAATGCAAAGTAGATTAGTAAAGTGTGCCCCTGGGCATATGTCCAGTGTGGCCTTGGCCCCTCGTCCATTTAGCTCTAACGCTGTGCTTCTGCTCTGCTTCCAGATGCAAGTTCGTCCACCACATTCTTCTGCCATGATGATTTTGCCTTGGAGCCAGCCATCCACGGACTGAAACCGTAAGCCTCTCCTCCTTCAAGATGCAGGGAAAGTGACAAACACAAGGAGAACTGAAGACTTACCCAAAGTGAAGTGTCCTACCCCAGCCCTTCTCTTACACTTCCCTTTAGTGAACAACAGGTTACAGGGCCTGAGCTGCTCAAGTGTCAACGTTCCCTAGTTTGACTCCTTTCCCAGGAGGGAGAGAGAGACAGAGAGACAGAGAGACTGAGAGATTGGATTATAATATAAACACAGAGAACGGTAATCCCCTGGGCCATGTCCCAGTAGGCAGAGCTCCTAGGCCATTGCCTCATCATAGGGACAGAGGCCTCCAACAGTGCCCCATTGTGGCTTTTGTTTGACCAGGCTCTTCAAGCACAGCACAACTCACATGAATTCAAACCCTGGGCAGGATCGCGTCACCACATGCCCACCAGATGTCGCTAATACCTCACATTTTGGTCACCACAGGGGCAAAGGACTCCTTTCACTCAACAAATGTTAATTAAGCAACATTGTGAGTATTGTGTGTCGTGCAGAGCACTTTGTAGATAAAAATTCCTTGCTTACAGGATCACATTGAGGATAAAAGTCATCATGTAAAATAAAAGATCTTTCAAGACTTATTTTCTGTAGAAGTGAAAATGTGTCACTAGCTATGGAGTATAAAATTGGAATTAAAAATCTGGGACCTCCTTGAGCATTGCTGTGAGGGCCTTCTGCTGCCTGTCTTGTAGTCGGACTAAAACCTCCAGAGTCTGTAATCATATTTCTGCATCTCAGTCATTGAAGGAATCTGTGAGGTCACAACTGCAAACACGGGTCAGAGAGGAAGAATGTCCAAGCCTCTGCTGATGGTCTCTGCAAGGCCTTGCTGTCCCCAAAGGCTGTGTATGTTGGACAGAACTTTCCAGAGGACTTGCGCTTTGAAGCCACTGCACATGGCTACACTGGGAATGACACCTGGAGGTTTAAAGCCTCACTGCTTGTCAACCAAGAGCACATACTTCTCCTTCATGGCCTTCAAAGGAACTGTGACCCTGATGAAGTCTGAGAATGGGCGGGGTTGAAGGTTCACTGTATCTTGCACACAAGTCAGACTGGTACAAAGATGTTATTATTGATTGCAAATCTATGCTGAATGGACATCTCAAACCAGTCTCTAACCTGTGCTTTTTGTGTTCTTCAAACGTGCTGTCTTCAAGGTTTTTCTCTGTACAATTACATAGTTGCATTTCCTTATTCTAGATGCTCAAACCAAAATCTTTGTGGTTGACGTTAACTTCCCTCTTTCTTTATCTCCTTTTAATTTTCGTGACAGGGTTTCCCTAAGTTGCTAAATTGCTCAGGCTGGGTTTGAACTAGAGATTCTGCCACTTCAGATTCCCAGAGTGCTGGGATTACAGCTGTGCACACTTGGCCCCTTACTCCTTAGCCAATCCATCAGCAAAGGATGCTAGAAAACCTTCCAAGTATGCACACAGTTATTCTTCATCACACCCACTACAGCACCATCTGGCTGAAGTCACCATTGTGAATAGCTTCCTGTTTCTGCCCCCACCCTCACCCCTCCTGTCATGGGGTTCATGTCATCCTCTTGAACTTTCCAATGGCTTCTAGGTTTTCTCCCAGTATGTGTCTTGAAATTTCCCTTTTAGGACAGTATCTATTATATTGGACTAGGACCTCACCAGATAATCTCAGCTTAATTTTATTACATATTTAAAGATAATCTAAAAAAATAAAGTCATAGTCCTATGTACTGAGTTCCGCGAGCACATTTCAATCTATAATAAAGACCTTCCCTGATCACCCTACTGAAAATTTCATCCATCCTTTCCGGCACTGCCAGAATTCCTTCCATGATTTAGTCGCCTTCTCTTTTGATTTGTTTAACCATCTAATGTGTGACCACGTACTTTACCTGTTTATGATCCGTCCTTCCATAGAATTGCAGTTCTGGGAAGGGAGAGTTTCATTTGGTTTGCGGTTTTCCCATCATCTAGAATACTACCTGGTTCACAGCAGACGACCACAGGAGTTGATGCAGCCTACTGCAGATCAGTGCTAGCATCCTTACATTATGGGAGGTAGATAGAGCTCATGGCTGATTTATGGAAGAAAAACACTCACCCAGCGTAAAGTCGGGCCCGAGATGAGCGGTCTCTCCTTTGGCCTCTCTTGCTTTTCAGCCTTACAAAGGAGACTGCAGCTCTGCCTAGGACTGAGTCCAGGATCAGCAGTGCAGGGCTCACAGAGTGACTTCTAAATGAAACCAGAGACTCCCACGGGCTGAGGACCATGAGTGGGCAGCCTGCGCTACTCAGGCCCTTGTCAGAAGTGGTCACATTGCCTTAGCGACAGTGGAAGCCCCTCAGCTTGGCAGGTGGAGCTGCTGTCCAAGAGGTCCTGGCCAATGGCCCCAGCACGGGGATGACCAAGAAAGGAAAGGGTGTGGCCAAAGAAGGATTTCACTGAGAGTTCTATCAGAAGATGTGAGCATACCCAAAGTCTGCCTGGGTGTTTCTCTTCCTCTGTTAATACCTGAACATTAGTATGATCCCAGTTTGGCAAGTTAATATGCAGCCATCTTTGTTAAGATAAACCAACAAAAGTTAGGGTTTGCCCCTGCTTTGCATGCAGGGATTCCCAGAGAAAACATTTGCATCTCACTCTGGCAGGCACAAAGAACTGCATTGTCCTTTAATTTTCACAATTACTCTGTGGCAGAGGTGTTGCTATTATCTCATTCAGTGATAATGGGAATAAGGATAAGAGAAGTTCTCCTCCGTGCATATTCACTGGTGCAGTGAAAATGTGGACACAAATCCCCTCGCTTTCATCCCGCATTAATGACAATAATGAGTTATCACTGAGTATGGACTAAGTACCAGGAATTGTGTGAAACACACTGTACACACTTTCTCATTTTCTCTCTCACATAATAGTATTTTAATCCCCATTTAGGAGATGGAAAACAGCAGCTAAGGACAAGGTAGAAACATTCCCCAGTTCTCCCGGTTCTGGATAATGTGAGGTGGTTTCCTAGAGACAGGTAGGCCCTGCTGTAGGAATGTGGATAGGAAACAGGGAGAGCCCAATGTCAGGGGGAGTCATCCAAAGGGCTTTGGGTGGACCCAGCCTTGTTTGGAGGTCGGGAAGGAGTTCTGGGTGGCATGTGTTGAGCAGGTGGAGAAAGGACTGGCCAAGACCCAGGCGCTGGGCAGTGCAGGGGTGTGGGGAGGGGGCAAGCTGGCCCGTGGCTGGAAGCCAGAAGGGAACACAGCCAGGAGCTCGGCAACCCCAGGATCTGCCACAGGCAGGCAATAGCTGGCGTGGCACTGGGAAGCCGCCCTGGTGTTGGTCCCAGGGGCTCTTCCCTGTACTCATGGCAGGGGTGCAGAGTCAGCACTGGGCACAGGACAGGGAAGGGGCAGGCACTCCCTTCCGGCCTCCGCCCACGGCCTTTTCCCTTCCAGCTCCTTCTGAGCCTAGCCCAGGTCAGCTGAATACAAAAGAGCACGAACAGTTATTTCCTGCATCAATCAAGTCACTTATGTAAAGCCCTAAGCAAACTAGAAATGACTGGAGTGCTGGCTAGCACTGGGCACTTAACTGGACAGTTAAGGGGGGCAGCTAGTGGAGGGCTCAGGGCGCAAGGGTGTTGGAGGCGAGGAGCGAAGAATGCAGTTTTGGACTTGACTGGATGGTGACAAATACTCACCATGCCTTGATGTACCTGAAAAAGTCTTGAGAACCACTAATGCTGCAGAATGTCAGGAATTGTTGCCACTGCCTCAAGGAGGCTGACTGCTTTCTAGGGTGATTGTTTTTTTAAGTTCTAGCTAGCAGTTGTAGACTACCCATGAGGACAACTTGGGAGCTGGCAAATAATCTGCGAGCAGGAATGGGACATTCTGGGTCTTCTGGAGGGGACAGCTTCACAGCACTCCTTGTAGAATTAGCTTTAGGCAAGGTGCCTAAAGCTGGGCTGGGATGCCTTCCAGAGTTTGAAATGGTCTCCGTTCGCCCCCTGTCCCAGCTCAGTCTTGGCATGGAGTACCATGTGAGGAGAACAAATGTTCTCTTCTCTAAGCTTCGGGGAGGGGCAGGAGGTTGCAGAGCTTCCTCTGGGACTCCCACGACGGGGAGTGACGTAACCTTGTGGCAGAACACACAGCCCATCTGGCTCATAGCATCATGGAAAAAGCAAGAAGTGACAAGGTATGAATGGTATCTTTAACATAGTCTTATATTTGGAAAGGCAATTAAAAAAGCACTTGAAAATACAAGGTAAAGTAACAGTTATATAAGTTTTAAGCTTATATTGCTTGGCCATTTGTACATATAAATTATTGCTTACTAGCTTTGATAAATACACAGCAGAGTCATATATACAGAGGCAGAAAGCATGAAATATGAGAAAGAAAACACTGTTAATGGCAATTCTGGTAATTCCACAAATGTTTCATATTTACCAGTCTTTATAATGGTTGAAAATTGTGAAGTGTAGTCCCTGAGAAGTTAGGTAGACACCCCGACTGTGGGTTTTCTATCTTCTAATTGTTAATGCAAGCTGACAATGTCACAGCAGTGCTAAGCAATGGTACATTAAAAGGCAAGATTCCTTGCTTATGGTCATCAATTTCTACCCAGTGTTTAATAACAGTATCATATGAATACAATAAATAGGCTATGCAAATAAATATTACTCTGCTAAAAAATGTTTAGTATATACAGCTTTGCTTTATACAGTAGTACATTTTCATCTAATTTTTTGGCAATTTTTAAAAACAATTTTTTCTCCTACCAGTCTGAAGCAGATTTGGCCTGCTCACTAACAAGCAGGCTGAAATTTTAAGGACAGGTCTTAGAAGCATTTAGATAAAATCTTATTGGACAACTGCAGTCAACTTGATCTTCCAAACTTTTAGTATTTTTGCCCAGTTTCTGAGAAGCGTGGATTGGTTGTGCCATAGAGTTCAGAGTTTGCAGCCTGTGTGTTGGCCACGGCAAAACTGTAGGGCTCGGATTCAGACAGCAGTGAAGGGGCAGCTCGGGGAGCAGAAGTCATCTCCAGCGTTCTCTGCCCTATGCATCTGTTTCTTCCCCACACAGAGATGAGTCGTTTATTCTCAGGTTTCTAAATTCAGTGTATATGCCATACTGTCTGCATGGGGATACTGGCCTAGTAAAATGAATTTATTCTAAACATGATTAAGGATACTAGAAAAAAGTACATTATTATATGCATGAGTACAACCATTTGGCAATTATATAACTGATGAGAGTGAATTTAAAACATGTAGTCTATGGAACATCTGCAGATGTGTGCAAAGGAATTGGGAAAAAATTTTGTCAGCCGGAGTAAGGGTTCTACTGTCCTGCACTAACTGCTAGGCAGGCTGGCTCGCTGTGATGTCAGTGCATCCGAGGGCCCACAGGACTGCTGGGGACCGTGCTGTAAGGCGAAGAACCCACAGAGAGGCGCCTGCCCAAGCACTTTTGGTGAAGATTTTCTGAAGAGATGAAGATTTTCTGCAATCATAAAAATTCCAAAGGCCAACAGGAAACAGGCTTAGACATCTTTTTGTCCACCCTTCTAGTCAGAGCAAGTAGATTCTGCGGAGCCTTCGGTGAGCACCCAGGGAGGGCATGGGCCCATCCTCCCAGCAGGGCATGTACAAGCCCCGCCGTGGACTGCTCACCAACAGACAGCTGCGGTCCTCGGGGCAGCTTTCAGCATAGCAAAATGTGGTTCCCGCAATTCTGCCTGGGAGATCTCTAGAAACAGTTGTAAACTTTCAGAAACACTAAAAAATTTTAGATGTTCAGAAGACAGGTATGGCAAAAAAAATCCTCCCTTTCTTTCATTCTCAAGCAAAAGTTTGACAAGTACCACTTTTTCCTAGCCCATTTACACTCACAGTGTGAAGCATACACCAATAGCCATCCAAAATGTGTTCAAGCACAGTGTACCTGTGGCTTTCTGTGGCTAAGTGTCATATCTGATCTGGTATTTCAGCAGCATGTGCTCGACTGAAGCAGATTCGTACTGAGAATTAGTCCTTTAAAGGCAATCAATGTTCTATTTGATGTAATGTGAATCTAATGTAAATAAATCAACTTGTAAAACAGAGACATGTCAAAAGGCCTTCTGTGATTGCGCCAGTCAAACCCTGATCACCAGCTTGAAGAAAGGACATGCAGAGGGTTTGTGCTGTGAACCCATGCTATTTTCAGTAACTGCTGAAGCAAAGGCTGAGAGCCTGCTTGCCCATCAGGAATGTGTCTTCCTGACGCCATGGCTCTGCTGTCCCCCAGTAGGTATCATTTCATCAGCAGTGGTATGAAACACTTCTCTGAGGGGACCAGCTGCGGATGGAGCATTCCTAAAACCCTACACATTTTTGGGAATGAAGTGTCATATGCTGAGCCAGACTGAGTCTGTCTGAAAGTCCTATCAGAAACGCTCTCCACATGGTGTGTACCCGCACTCTCTCAAGTTCACTGTGGCCCCTGAGCCCAGGGAATACCACTGCTTTTAAATAAAGGCCTCAGAAGCAATGGCCACACCTCAGAGATGAGGATGAGTGAGGTGCTGAGGAGACAAAAAGGAAGCAGGCCTGTTCTGGTTCCCACTTAGCTAACCAGTGAGTGGGACTGGTGAGAAGAGCAGCTGGGTCACACGGTTAGGAAAGTTTAGCAAGGGACAGGCATTCTAGCCAGTGACAAGTATTTAGCTATCAGGAATGACTGGATTATTTTAACTCAGACTTTTTTATTCATCTGAGGGTTGAGGGAAACCCTCTACCCAGTCCAGGAGAAAAGTGAAAAGTCTCACTTGCTAGAGGAGGCCCAATTTGTAAAAATGGGAATCAGAGAAACTCAGAAAGCTGAGAATTTTGAGAAAAAATACAAAAAAGCAAATTATAGCAAGACTTCCTGCTTCAAATGGGAAGTAGACTAAAGGGCTCCTCCAAATCTCCAACGTTTAAGTCAGACATCTAGACATTTCTGGGCAACATTTTACTTGCCCCAAGACTGTTGTAATCCCCACCATCCTGTTATGTCTCTCTAGATAGCACTGACTGCTTCACACACACAGCTCCTCTCTTTCCCTGGGCCGTTCTCACTGCATCCTGTGGGCAGCGCATCTGCTCGAGGGCTGCAAAACACTAGGACTTCATCAGACACGGAACACAGCATCTGTGATCCTCCCCTCCACGAGTCATTTCTGAGCAGGTACAGTGTGTTCAGGCACTGTGCATATACAGAGCATACTGTGCCCAGTGAAAAATAAGAGCCTGCTTACAAACATGAAAGAAAATCCCCAGGAATGAAACAAGGAGTCAACTGCTTAAAGACTACTTTTTGCTCCCTGGCAAAGCAACTATGTCTACCTGCCTATAGAAGCGTATCGGTTGCACAGATGCTAACTGCACCTGCAGTCATATACTGTAAGTGATTGTGGATGCAAACAAGTACGTGCCTTGGTGTTTCACATCCGCACAGCGGAGCAGGACTGCCCGTTACCATCCGCAACTGCCCAGACTCGCATGGCTTTTGTGATGTCAGAGTTTGGGTGGAGAGATAGCTTCCCCTGCGTGGATGTCTAGAGATGCCCTTGCTTGTCTTTGGGCGTCCACAGTCCTCTGATGATCTGACAGCGGTAACCTGATGTCTTCTTGCTGCAGGCACACTCATACTGAAGTATCTGTTCGTTGTGTGTCAGGCTGTGTTTTCTCCTGTCGAAGCCAGCACATCTTAAATGGAAACCTGGATCAGATCAGCAATTGGTAAGAAAAGAGGCCTCTCTGTTCCAAGAATACTGCCAGCTCTTCCTTCCTCCTCACTCCAAGAGCATCGTGGAGGGGCCGCTCCCATCCCTGGCAGCTGATATCACTTCCTGAACACGCTCTGGCTGCCTTTCCTGTGCACCTCTTGTGGTGTGCTGATAAAACTCAGCAACTTCTTTTCTCACAGGAAGCAACGTGCTGGGCAGAGACCTTCCTGTGGCTCAAAGTGCAGCAGTCACAGGAGGCGGGTGGCATCTCACGCCCTCGGCTCAAGCCTGTGGGACAGCTCGAACAGGGCCTGCTGGCTGTCGATGACATACAGGTGGGTAACGTAGGACTTCAGCTCCTGATGCTCCTTCGGAGACATGTCACTTCCTATTAATATTTTAGAGGAAAAACCAAAAATCAATGTCATGAGAGCAATGGTACTATTTCTAAGTACCAGGAAACCTGCCTCAGTAGTTGGAATCCTGGAAGCAATGTCCTTGTCTAAGAGCAAAGATGCCTCAGGCTAGGTTCCTAAGGTTGGGTGGTGGATGGGCACGATATCGCCAGCACTTCTTACCTGGCAGTGTGTGCTGTTCAGAAATCACAAGACTGCCCTTCTCTGCAGATGAGGACAGTGAGTAGTCACACAGTGGCACCAGCAGGATATGAACACAGGCCCTATGGATCTGAGTCCAGGGTCTGACCCCTGACACTGTGTAGCCTCTCATATCAACTGCCCATCTGAATAGCCTGGGTGGCTCATGTAGTGTTGAATTTTCAGGAATCCAGCAATCTACTTGGCATATGAAACAACAGCCACTCCCATTCCTTTTCTTCTTTTACATTTTGTATAATTCCATATATTTTATATAATTCCATCTTATTTTTTGGAAAAAAAGATTTAACGAACCACTGAGCAAACAGATACCACAGAACCGAGCCTACGGGGCGGTCAACAGGCAGAGTAGGAAGGAAATAGGATCATGGACTGGAGTCTGCCCGGGCAAGGAGGAGGCAAGGGATCTGTCCACACACAAACCCAGCACAGTCAAAGAACTGAGGGCCGCAGAGGTGCCAGTGTGCTGTGGACTCACATGTGCTTGCTGTGCTGTGCCAAGTCTGATAAGAAAGCAGTGATCAAGTATGCGGACAATGCACAAGGCCAGAGCGGGAGGCGAAAAGAAACAGCACGCAACTTGCAATGTCAGGAGATTGGTTTAATAGCGCAGTGGTGAGAAGTGTGGGTGTGAGGGACGGTGACACTATATCCTCCTCCTGCATGGGATTATGGGCAGGGCGTGACACTGGAGCACAGTTTGAGCAGAAGGGAGGGGACCACAGGAAGCTGGGTATTTTATTGTAGCATATATTTTTTTATTGGTACCTGAGATCGAACTCATGATCTCACGCTTACCAAGCAAGTGCTTGAGCCACTGAACTAAATCCCTGGCGCCTTGTATCATATTTTCCTTTAGGTAAAAATCTTTTATCCCTCCCTTCTTGACATTTTTTTGGGGGGGGGGATACTGAGGATCAAACTCATAACCTTGCACTTGTCAGGCAGGTACTTATGCTGCTGAGCTAAATCCCTGGCCTAATAAATATGTTTTATGTAGAAATAAGATTTCTCTGTTGTGAGAAGTTTGCTACTCTTAGGTTTAATAGCAAGGCTTCCTGATTGCAGCAAGTAAAAGTACTCGGTGTCAAAGCTTTTGCCACAGCTAAAAAGCTGTATTATTCTAGAATGCTGTGGCTGAAAGACACTGAGAAGCTGCTTGCTTTTTGGTTTACTTCACTTCAGTTTGGAAAACATGACGCTATAGAGATAAAATTGCTGTTAGCTTACAAGTCTTAAAAAGAAGGTAGAATGGTCCCAACCATGACAAATGACGTGTGGCACTTATAATTCATAACTGATTTGATTAACATTATATAATTTTATCCCAAATATTGACATTGGTTTATTAGCTTAGATAAGCTGTTAAAATAAACTCAGATAACTCAATTCAAACCCAGCTTTTAAGGTATATAAATATGTGAATAGGGGCTGGGGATTTAGCTCAGCGGCATAAGTACCTGCCTTGCAAGCAGGCGGTCGTGAGTTCAATCCCTGGTACCAATAAAAAAAAAATGTGAATACAAACTGCCTTAACAGGGCTTTTTGTTGTTGTTTGGTTTTGAGACAGGGTCTTGCTACATAGTTTAATCTGGACTTAAACACTTGATGATCCTTTTGCCTCCGCCTTCCTAGGATGGGGATTACTGTTCCTGACTTTGATAGTGTTCTAAATTTCTCCTTGGTATAGTGCTGCACAGGCAAGTGAGTGGGAGGTTCAGGGGCTGCCAAGCCAGGGTAACCTTCATGCCCATACTCATATGAACACATATAAGAACACATATAAGCTACCACCTCTTGATAAACACAGGTTGATGTCTTAGAATTAGCTAAATACCCAAAAAAAGATGAAAGAAATACTCATCAGCAACATTATACTTGTATATTTGGATGAATGAATCTCTATGATGTCAATTGTTACTATTTTTATTATAACTGCAACGTACTTAAATAATGAATTCTATAAGTATATATCCAATGATATTAAATTGATATAACTACTTAGAAAAAGTAGGCTCTGTGTTTACAATTTTCCTTTTGACAAAAAAAAATTTTAGTACATATAGAAGTTGAGTTACTCATTTGCTTTTTGGAAAGACAACATTGCCAGCCAAGAGCAGCACTGTACAGAAAAACAATACTTTAGAATGTGTACTAGCTAGGCACATGGTGACACATGCCCACAATTTCAGCACTTGGAAGGCTGAGGCAGGAGAACTGCTGCCAGTTGGAGCCAGTCTGGGCTACATAGTGAGTTCAAGGTCAGGACTGCAAAGTAAGACCTGTCTTGGAAAAACCAGTCTCTTGCCCTCAAAAATAAAAAGAACATGTACCAAATAGTTTGTAACTCTTCGCTTGGGAGGTGGGACTTTTTCTATGTACATTACAGTACTTCCTGTTAAGACTTTTCTTGTAAGCCCTTCATGTGTATATAATCTGCCCAGAGTGAATGAAGCAAAGGGCGAGGGTGAGGGTGAGGGAGTCAGCCAGACTCCGTTTGAGCAGTGGCTGTGAGCAGCCTTTCACAGCCTGAGATTTCTGTCCTGCACCTACAGGGTTAATAAGCCCACTGGCTAGAACTGGCCTCACAGTTCCTGCCCATGGGAAAGCTCCTTCAACTCAGTAAAGTCCATTTCCTTCCTTCCTGCATTGCATTAACATCATTTAAACACATTGTAAGCAATGCCTGAGATTTAAAATGGAACAAATATTCCTACACACAAGCCTCAGTGGGAAGCCTACACATGTACTCAGATAAATATGTTTTCTGCAGAAAGGCAGCTCTAGACAGGAAGGTTTTGCTGGAGAGGAGAGAACGCTGGGAAGACTGCTTGGGGCACTTTTATAAGGGTTCCAGTAAGGGCCTTGGTAAGGAGATCAGGGCGAGACTCACCCTGCTAAACTCAGCAGTTAATTAAAGTACAGGGGAAGCAAAGCAAGACTTTCTGGGGCGGGGTGGGGTGAGAAGCCCTGATCATCTACAGTCCCTCTGGACAGGGTAAACTGGCTTCCATGAGGGGATAATGATCTGCATGTCCTGTCCTCTAATCCCAAATATCCCAGTGAGGAAAACAAAGTGAGAATCTAGACTATGTAAACAATATGCCTACCTATATACATATTCTTTACGAGCTGTTCACATTTATTACCACCAAATATTTGTGACACAGTCAGTCAAGACCAATATGCAGGCAATTTACACTCCACACCTGACTTCAATTACTCACCAAACTGGTTAGTCTGGCAGTGTCTCAGGGTTCTCACAGTGTCTGCAATCATGTGCTGCAGGGTAACAAAGGAAACACATCAGTGGTAAGGAGGGGTCACTTAGGGTGCTGCTGGAGCGGCAGTGGCTGGTGCGATGGACAGAGAGTCCAAGGCCATGGATGAATAGTCTTAACACCGAATTGGGTATAATTGGATGAACTATGCTTAGAACATTTAAATGATTATGCTGTGCTTGAATCATGGAGAATATTTTAGTCCTTGTCTGCAAAAACAGTGACTCCCAAACTGTACAGATTCACCATGGGAAAAAAACATCGTGAAGAAATAAAGCCTTTGCAGGATCCCCCTTGTGGCCTTGGGGAGCTGCAGTCTCACCATGCCTGCTGTTGGATTCTTCTCTCCACAGGTACCACTAGAGGGTACCCAGCACCTACCATGTGTCCTACACACAGAATCAGAGCCGTGCTGCGCGGGGCTGGAAGGTTTTATGCACTAAAAGGCTCAAGTGGTGGCAGAAAGTGAGCTTCTTAGGAAAGATGAACATTTTCTATATCAACGTTGTAACCATATAATTTTCTGTTTCTAATTTACAACCCATCTTAAAAGTATTCAGTATTTTCTCTGATGTCTTCACTGATCTCCAGGCAGAAGTCTTGCTCAATTTGTAGCTGCTATTAACAAGATTCCATCACCTCCTCCGTCAGTATATCTGTATTTGTTTTCTACCTATCTCTGCCACTTTTAGTCTTCCATAACGAAAACATGGTGTTTTGGAAAAGACCAAACTTCTCTACAGTTCCTTTTACACAGGTGCCAGAATAATCTCTAAGTACTGTTGTCGTCACGTTCTAGATCTGGCAGAATCTGCATCAACTCCTTACATTATCTCATATTGAAGTGCAAACATCATACTGTGATCCAACATCACTCATTATCTATCCCTCCAGAGGCTCCACGGGGCTCCCATCGTTCATGTCCTACCTGCACCCAATGAACACAGATCACCTGCACACAGCCGACCCTCAGTGAATTACTGCTGAAAATATAATGTTAACACTAAAAACTGTCTCCCTCAAAACCCAGTAGAACAGAGGACATGCTACTCGAATGTGACCTACTGGTTAAATTGTTCTCAGAACTGTACTGCTAATGTACTTCCACTCAAAGTGGAAAATTAAATGGGGCAGTGATTAGAGCAGCAGCTCGAGCGTCATTTGCAAAGGAAATGAGACCTGACTCATGTCTGTGCAAATGCATTGTTAAATTTCCTTCCCCAAATTTTATCCCAATTCCCAGGACAGTTTTCTCGTTTCAAGCTGTGGTGTCACACTGATTTCTACTGTGTGCATTTGCACAGCTCATGAAAGGCTCGAGCTGATGTAAGGCTCGGTACCTAATGCAGCAGTGAAATCTTAGACCTGATTCTCATCTTCAGGCTTTCTGAAGGGGGAGGGAAGGAGGTATGGTAAATGATGATACTCGTAATACTGAGGAATGAGACAGAAAGGAAAAACCCTTTGTTTCTTCATCATTTGATAGTTTGAGATAGAAACATTTAGAATGCTGAGGCAGCAAAGAACTCAGCCCAGGGAACAATAGAAATCTTATTAGACCCAATGAGTACTTCTGGATCTGCACATGGTCTGATTTAATGTGTTGGCCTGTGTCAGCCAGATAAAGATAATACATTGAATTATCTGCTAGCTGGCTTAAGTTAATATCCATCATGAAGAATTGGATTCTTACAAGTTAATTCACTTAGGTTCTATTGGTTCATTATTGTGAAAGATGATCCTGTTTCAGCTTCAGTAAAACCCTGTCCTGTGCTAAGAGACATTCTTTTAATATACTGCTTCTACTAGGAAGGGCAGTTTCTTTCTCCAGTAGCCATGTATACCAAAGGTCTGGGTATGATTTAAGTTGATTTGTCCTTTCAGAGAAGATTCTAATTTCACCCTGTCTTCTGCATGTAAGAAGGGGTCAGCCCGAGGAGGCATGCTGCATCTGAAATGCTATGCTCTCTGATTTGAGGCCTGGAGCTCATTGGTCCCACAAAATCTGTCCTTGTTACAAAAGATGTGCCAGCAACTGCCTGATGGTAGTGTGCATGTGCTGTGAGCCTGTTGTGTGCATGCACAGCTCAGCCCATTTTCTTCTCCCTTTAAAAATATTTTTTTTAGGGATTTAAAATAGAATATTATTTTATCCTATGCTATTTCCTTAAACTTTCTTAAAGAACTAAAGACACAATTATTGACCCAGGTGGAGTCCACATCATTAAGGCTTTGTTTTCATCCCTGTGGTTAGTTGGGATCTTAGCACATGAAAGCTGATGATAAAGAGCTCCTGATGGACTGCTGTAGAAAGCAGAAAGGACCATAAGTGGCGGTGAGAAAGAAGGGGTAGGGATGACCTAGGAAATCTTTCCATGGCTCTTTTGCATTCAGGCTTTATGGAATTGTTCTCACGTTTTGGTGGCCCCATCTGAATGGAATGAAAAAATGAATTCTGAAGCCCTGGCTCAGCTGAGGGAGAAGTTTCGCTGTCAATCTGCTCTTAAAATAGGTAGCAGTTGGCTTAAAATAGGTAGCAGCTGCCTCCCGGTGTTCCCTCTGGGTGAGAGGGAAAAATAACTAGACCTCAGGAAACTCTCCTTGGGGTGACAACCCCACTGAACATCTTCGTGTCTGCCCCACAGAGCTCACCTGGTGCTCTTACCCAGCTGTGCTGGCCAGCAGGCAAAGTACTTACTGATCAGAAGCTTTATGTTACTGCAGTCACTTCATTAGTACAAACACTAGTGATTAACCTCCTTGGAGAGGAGATGTCTAGTGACTCCAGCTTTTCACTGCTAACAGGTGTCCTGTGATTTCAGCTCACACAGCAACAGGCTAAAAAGGAACACCTGATCCGTTTCTGGCTGTGTTGGTTTGACTGCAGCATTTAAAACACCTGATCTCTGATTCGAAGCCAGGAGAGAAACTTGAAAATGTTATCAGCAGGAGGAGACAAGATGGCGGCGTCCCTGGGACGCCGGTGTTGGCACTGTCTGCACGAGGACGGGCAGTGGGGGACCAGGACTCTGGGAAGCCAAGCCAGCACCTCCCCTCCCTGGTAAGTGGTGGTAGTGTGGCCCACTGTAGCCCTTCTAGGGGGAGAACCAGCAGTGTCTCCTGAGATCCATGCCATGTGGGAGCTTAGGACTCTGGAAAGCCAAGCCAGCACCTCCCCTCCCTGGTAAGCGGTGGTAATGTGGCCCACTGCAGCCCTTCTAGGGGGAGAACCAGCAGTGTCTCCTGAGATCCATGCCATGTTGTAACTTAGGACTCTGGGAAGCCAAGCCAGCACCTCCCCTCCCTGGTAAGCGGAGGCAGGGTGGCAGACTGCAGCCCTTCCACAGGGAGAACTAGCAGTGTCTCCTGAGATCCACGCCATGTTGGAACTTAGGACTCTGGGAAGCCAAGCCAGCACCTCCCCTCCCTGGTAAGCGGAGGCAGGGTGGCAGACTGCAGCCCTTCCACAGGGAGAACTAGCAGTGTCTCCTGAGATCCATGCCATGTTGGAACTTAGGACTCTGGGAAGCCAAGCCAGCACCTCTCCTCCCTGGTAAGCGGAGGCAGGGTGGCAGACTGCAGCCCTTCCAGGGGGAGAACTAGCAGTGTCTCCTGAGATCCATGCCATGTTGGAACTTAGGACTCTGGGAAGCCAAGCAAGCACCTCCTCTCCCTGGTAAGCGGAGGCAGGGTGGCAGACTGCAGCCCTTCCAGGGGGAGAACTAGCAGTGTCTCCTGAGATCCATGCCATGTTGGAACTGAGGACACTGTGAAAACAAATGACCATCCTGCCTCCCTGCTTAGCAATAGTGAACCTACTGCTACATGGCCTAGAGTCAAATATCCCACTTCCCCTATCCTCCTTCTCCTCCTCCTCCCCACCCATTAGCAAGTGGGAACCAGAAATCTGAGCATTTCCTGGGAGGTTGACCATAGCAAATAAGGGGGACTTCCTTCTACCATTTCTTTGAAGGCAAGTATTTTTATTACTGTTTTGCTCTTTTCTGATTAATGGTACTGCTCTATTCAATATTCTGTTTTGATAAGTTCTATAGTGTTCTATATTTCATCTCATTTTGATATACGGGATTGAAAGAACAACTATTATAAAGATAACAAAATATACTGTGATACCTATTACTGTTATCCCGGTAACCTGCTGTGAAGTTCTGTACCAATTTCACTGTACGATCTTAGTTGGCTTTATTCTGACTTGTTCTGTTGTATACTATCAAAATAAAAATTTAAGAAAAAATGTTATCAGCATTTCCATTTCAAAAATAACTAGCCATGAAGGGATTGTGGTTTAAACCTCCAGTGGCTGAAAGGGAGCTGTGAAAAGGTGTTTGGAGATGTCTGTCAGCTGCCAGTTGTGTGGCTCTGTGGACCTGCGCCATGTCCTGTGTGTGGTGGGCTGGCCAGATGACGAGGGCAGAGCGCTGCTGCACGGGAGGCAAAAGCCAGACACCAGCCCTCATCAGTACACAGCAGTCCAGTGTGTTCTCTGGTCATGGTCTGTGGCCCCTGGCTCAACAACCTTTTCTCAAAGGCCTGACCCAGTCTCACGGGGAGCAGGGGTCAGCTGCTGAAAGAGTTTGCATAGTCCATTACTGTTACTGACTAGGTCACTCCAAGGTCGGGATCATCCTTAACCATGACGAAGTGTTTATCTATCACACTAATGTTCATCTGTCAGAGAAATCTGCTCCTCTGGCCATCAGTGGGTTTCTCTGCAATGCTCCTATCAATGCTCCTATATCATGGCTGCCTGGGAACCCCTGCTCTGACCGCGTGAGGACAAAGCAGCTGGAATGTCCCGAAGTCACTCAGGAAGAAGCATTTCGGGAACAGGGGGCAGAACACTGACTGGGACCCCGACTCATGAGCAAGGAGACCCTGTGTCAGGGGCTAGTCTTGGCCTAGCCCTTCCCCTCTTCTGCAGACAGAAATCCAAGGCTCATGATTGAGTTTGGGGTAATGGGAACCAATGCATCTCCCCAGGAGGACTTTCTTGCCTGTGCTTCAAAAGCAGCAGGCTTGGCTCGTGACTGTAAACTAACTGCTGACAGGATTTATTTTTATTTCTGGTTCCATAAGCGATACTCAAACACTGATGTCAATCTAATGAAGCGTCATTTTTAAAAATGGAAAGCACATTTCCAAGTTGGTTGGTTCTCAAGTGTTTGCTAACACACTTCTTTTTAATTGGGGTACATTGTGTATTGATAATATACAGCCTGAGCTCTGGTTCAAGGGAGATAAAGGTTACACCATTAGTTTGATGGAGCAGGAAAAACAAGCTTACATTTTCTTTTCAATGAGAAAAAGGAGAAATAATGAAATTTACATACCAGTTTTTCAAAATTGACAAGGTTATCCAAAAATGTTTTATTTCCTTCATGAATAAATGTTACATCTGGAAATCAAAAACAAAATGATATAAATACCATTAGGAATGGAGCACGTAGTAAGGCTGAAGAAGTCTAGAAACAATCCAACTTACAAATTTTCCTTCAACATTATAGAATTATTCTATGCATTTGATAAGGAACCGTGAAACTGCATCTGTAGAATATCTAATGTGCAAATACATGATTTGTGCAGGGAACGGATGAGGGAACCGTGTAACATTACTGATAGAACAATTTTGTCCTTTGGTGAAGTGTTAACTTTACTGTATCAAAGTTAATGCTATTTTGTAACCTATTTGGTCCATTATATATATATATATTTTGTCTTTTTCATTTTTATCGGTACCAGGGATCGAACTCACAACCACCTGCTTGCAAGGCAGGTACTTATGCCGCTGAGCTAAATCCCCAGCCCCGGTCCATTATATTTTTAATCAGAAAACTGAGCAGAAAATAAATGAATATTTAGAAAAAACGGGATTTTAATATTTATGTGTCTGCTTTTCAAAAACATCCCTGACAAGGTTAATGGGATTTGTTACAGCAAACAGTTAAGATTCATACTTATATGTTTACATTTAAATTTCTAGTTCCCCAAGCCAGTACCTGATTGTGTACATTTGATGTGAGTGAGGGGCTGGGAATGCTTTTCAGTAGCAGGGCATTTGCCCAACAGGTGCAAGGCTGCATCTCCAGCATCGTGAAAATTAAGTCAATGTAAAGGGCATGTGTGAAAATGCCACGATTTCTGGCCCTGTCTGATAGGTAGAAAGAAAGCACCAGAGCTGGAAATAAAACAAGGAAAGCAGGATGAAAGTACATGGTGAGGAGGAAAGAGGAATGTGATTCAAATGACTGAGGAGCAGGAGGTGCAGCCCACCGGCGGGGCCCTCCTGCAATTCAGTCTCCAGTAACACCAGAGAACAAACAAATTCACAAGGTACAGATTTGGGAAGTAGATGCACTAAAGAGTAACTGAAGCTCTGAGAAGTACATATACAAACTGAGATCAGAGAACACATACTGATCATGAGGAAAGCCCCACAGACAAGGGTCACAATAAGAAATACTCCTGTTATGTCACGAACGGGGAAGGTCCATCAAGTAAAAATGGCTTTCAAAAGTCTCACTAAGATAATCTGTTTGAAAAGAGGGAAAATAACAGCTCTAAAACTCCTAGGCACAGAGATCACATTTACATGAAGACTTTTACTTTGGGGATCCACAGGAGGTAGTAAGAGATAGGTGCTCCTGAAAGCTGCCCTCAAAACACCGGGCCGGCGAGCTCTGAGTGTGGTACAACTGTTTCCACGGCATCCTGGTACACAGCTTCCATTATGGCCTGTAACGTTTTCAGGAGCTTCTTTTCCTATGTTTTTTTTTCTTTTAAACTGCTGTTCTGGTAGGTAAATGATTCACAATTAATTAAACAGTCTTCTAATAAACTGGCTACTATCTTTTGCAATTTTGCAAATAATTGAAAGCTTTCCATCATGACATAGTATTTATAAAACAGAGTCTAAAGAGCTAGATTTGCACCTTTTGTGTACAGCAGATCAACTACTGGGCCCACTTTGTCTACCCTAAACACCCTGGACCCTGGTGTTGGAGACCACTACCAAGCGGCTCTGACCTGATAGCCTGGGCCTCTATTTCCTCCCAGAGAGGTCCAGGCTTCAGACGCCTCTCCAAGCTACATGGACTGAATGTTCCCCAGGGTTACAAGGCTATCACCATCACTGCTCTCCTATATTTCAATAAGGTGATAAGGACAGTGACAAAAATGCGAGAGACAACTTGAAGTGCTTTACCTGGATTAACACATTTCATCCTTGCAAAACACTCTAAAGTAAAACTCTAGAAGGGAAGCAGGGGAACAAACTAGGGAAGGAAGGATGTCCACAGCTGACCCATGCTCCCAGCCACATGCCAGAGCCAGAACTGAAACCCAGAAGGTGGGGACACCTTCCCTTTGGGGCCTCGCCAGGCACCTCAAGTTAAAGGACTTGAATGGGGGGGAGATGCAGCTCAGAGGTAAAGGCCTTGCCTTGCATGTCCAAGGTCCTGGGTTTGACCCCCAATGCCAGGAGGTGGGGGGAGGAAAACAAACAAAAAAAGCCCTTAAGGCTTCTTACAGCTAGCTACAGTTAACCTATTGAAGTGTTTACTTCACCACTCCTTGTACTTATTCCCTCCCGCCTTAAATCCCTTCTCTTCCTGGAAATTCCCTCTTACTAGCTCTTAGGCCTCGAGGGCAGCAGGTGGGACAGCTGCTCCATGAAGTGCAGCGCTTTGTGGGGCTGCTGCCGGTGTGGCCTGAGCCAGGGAAGGAGCTGAGGAGGACCGTGAGCCTGGAGCAGCCGTGGGAGCGGAGGGCTGCACTGCAAAGAAGTGGACGAGCTTGGAGAGGCTGAAGACTTCGATGCCATTAAATGCAGGTATGTGATGAGGAGGTCATGAAAAACAAGAAGGAATAAGCAGTGGCCCCCAAAACGGAAATGTACAAATTTAAGTTTGGGGTGTGACTTGCAAAGCCCTTTTTACCTGAGAAAACTGTACAGTCTTAAAATTCCGCATAAAATAGAACTAAGAGATGGCAAGTGGAAAATGAGGAAGAAACACTCGACATTCTTTTCCTTCAAATAACCCTCAAATCTGCAACAGTAATGTTCACTCTAAACACAAACAACCCCCACAGGAATTCAGTTCCTGCTCAAACACTTCAGAATCTTTCACTTAATGCAAGGGATCACAGTCTCCAAAAATCACACACAGCGCACACACACACTGCTCACACACATCTTAGCAGGATCTGTTCCCAAGGCTGACTTCGGGTTTCCCATTAATCCCCTGATGAGAAAGGGGAACATGAACATAACTCGACCGGGAAAGAGGAAAAGTGATGGCTCAGGTAATCCATTTACTTGGTAATCTATATGTTTACTGGAAACTATTTCAATCATTGAAACAGGGGAGGCCTAATCCTTTCTAAACTCCCAAAGTAGATCAATGTGATCCTATTTTCTAATTAAAAGCAATTCAAAATATAATGTACAGCCTGGCAAGCACAAGGTCATGAGTTTGATTTCTGGCACCAAAAAAACAAAAACAAAAAATATAATGTACAAAAGAGGTAGGAACAAAAGGTTTTAAGAAAAATTCAACTCACTGCTCTAAAACAGTTCAATACAACTTTAAAAATAATTACACGACGTAAAAACCTAGACTTGCCAGGAGTGGTCGAACATGCCTATGACCTCACCATTCAGGAGGCTGAAGCAGGAGGACTGTCACGGGTTCGATGCCAGCATGGGCTGGTGAATTGAAGACCAGCCTGAACTGCACAGTGAGACCCTGTCTCAAAAAACAAACCAAACCAACAACCTAAACCCAGCCCGCCCACCACACACACACACACACACACACACACACACACACACTCCCTAAGGATTATAGTCATGTATTTTTCTCAAGATAGCTCATCTCAGGCATGATTATCTGTCTTTAAAATGTTCATCCTATTTGGCTTTGGAAATGATTTCTGACAAAAATGGTAATTTTCACTAAAAAATGAAGCTGACACTTTAATTTTTGTAATAAAAATTAAGATAAAAAGTGCTTATTTAAACTCAATAAGATTTCCAATGAAAAGAAGAAAAATGTTTAATTTACTACTTGTTCTTTTGCAATGAGTGAATATATTTCAGTGGAAAAAAGGCAAATTTGTTTTGCTGCCGACAAAAAGGTCTAGACTAACTCAGCAGAGCAGAAAATTGCATCCAACTAAGATTCGTGAAACACTTCACTGCACTAAACATTTTGGGAGAAGAATCATTAATGGAGAGCGGAAAGCTCTGCTCTCTAAGTTAAAGGAACACTGTCCACTTATCTGTCATAATCTTAAAAGTATTTAATGTTTCAAGTCATTTTATTTTGCAAATAAAAGGCAGGAACCTGAATAAACATCTTAAAAGCAGTCAGTGAAGGAAAAAAACCCCTCAAATGAACTTTTAAGTAGGTATTTTGGAACTGCAATCTTATTTCATCCATTTATATTTAACAGAATCTTTTCAGCTAGAGTGAAGCATTCTGTACATCTCTCAATTGTCTTAATACTCCACGTGTGTTTCACAGGGACTCTGGCTTCATATTAGATGAAGACTACATGAGCGGCTGCCTGGATGCACAGCAACTCGGAACAAGTCTCCAGACTCTGGTAGTTCTTGAGAGCGGCAGGAGAGGCAAAGCCAGCTGCTTGCCAGCAGAGGTGGCACTGGGAGGAGGACGGGATGAGGATGGCTAGGGCAGGTGGCAATGCCATTCCCAGGCAACTCATTTCCAGGCTCACTTGTGTCTAATTATTGAGGCCTGACCCAGCAGAAGACACCTCTGAGCACAGATGCTGGATGAAAGAGAATTGCCATAAAATCCCTTGAAAGAATTTTTTTTTCCCTCAAAAGAATTTTATTTTTACATAGGAAAAGTTCCCATGTCTTTTTTCCCTAGGAAACATATAGGTGAAGATATCCGCAGAATGCCAGGACAACAGGCCAGATTCCAGAGTGCTCTCTTTCATTAATGTCCTTGGTTTGAAAGAAAGAGAACTGAGAGTTTAACTGACTGGTTTCATGATGAATTATGTGGTGGGCTGCAGTACTGAGCTCAGCGGTCTAACCTGGAGCTGTCCAATACTTGCCCAACTGGACCTTTTGCCTTAGAAACAGGAAGTACACTACCAGTGATAGAGCTTGTGCGGACCAAAGGGATTTCTCACATGACAGTACATTGACAGTTGTGTCTCTGAGCACAGCCTATCACCATTTGGGTATTTTATACCAGTCTTATTCTTGTTTGAATTAACTATGACAGAAAGAAAGGTTCAAAAGAAAATAATACAGGAATTAGAAGCAAAATAAAATAGAGCACAAAAGTCAAGTTTAGCAAGTCAAAAATTAAATGCTTTGACATCTGTTCAAGCACAATTCAGTCCAGGTATTTAAAAAAACTTAGGTATTTCAAAAACTATGAAAAGCAAACAAGTTTGAACATCAAAATGACTGCAGTCCAATATACTGAAGTTTTTTTTTGTGTGCCTTCTATGGTTAGAATGACAAATTTCTGGATGATGAAATTACATGGCATAAAGGGTAGAAAATCATTACCTTTTAGCAGTAAGGGCATGAAAGGGATTTTTGGTGGCTTCATCTTTTTGAATGCATCTCTGTAGGCTTTGTGATTTAAGGAAGGATCCTGCCAAACCAAGCAGATTACAAAGAGAAAGAAAATCAATGTGTGATAGAAACAATTCTCAATCTATTTTTCCTATACAATTTGAACATGATTTAGATATAGAGAGGTTCTTCCTAAGAGTGAAATAGACAAAGGTTTCCTAGGAGAATAAACTCACTAAATTAGGGCAGGAAATCTAGGCAATGAATGAAACTCCAGTTATTGGTTTATAAAAAAGGGAAATGGCTACAAAAGAGAGACACCTTTGATTACCCTATTATTTTCTTCAAATAGGTTCTTTAAGTACAGTTTCCTCTGCATAATTTTGATCATGCGATAACCTAGGTCTTTTGTTAGGTACACTGCAGAGAAAAACTGTCCTCTTAACATACAGGCAGGGCAGAGAAAACAAGAGAGCAGTGTTGCACTGTGTTCTAAAAAGAAATTCTTCGCTTTGTATCTAAGCCTAAGACAAAGTGAAAATGTGGAAAAAATACTGCACAGGGCACTAATTACATGTTAAAATTATACTGTAGGCTAAAGTCATGTAGGTTTTGAACTGGAATATGCTTAAAAATCTGCTTTCTGAAAATCACACTTAAAGAGACCACGCTCATCACCTGTGAGGAAGGTGAGGACGCTGCATTAACTGTCATTTTGTCTCATTCCTTAAGAAGCAAAGCTACATTCCTCATAAGCAAGCAAAACTAGTCTAAGCTACTCGACAGCACAGAATGCAGAAACCAACCATCATAATCCAAGAGACTAACTAGAAGAATAAGGCCACTGTAGTTCAGCTACTTACTGTTAAACTTTCAAGTTCAGAGAAAAGTTTCTTGAACTTCCCAGGGATTTTCTAAAAAACACAAAAAGCAGTTGACAGAAGACAGTTATTTTGAGAAGCACTGGGAGGATTTTTCATTAAGTTGTGCTTACTTGTACATTTCAGAACAAATACCTCTACCTCTGGCTCTCTCCTGATTGCTTCTCATTATGTAAGTTTCATCCTGCTTGGAATACGGCTTTAGGAATGTGGCTAAACGCAGTTTACCAGCCACAAGATTCATGAGTCTAGCAGGTTACACATTAATATTATTTAATAAAAATTTCGATTCCAGTTCCATGTCCTACCTTTGATGAATGTGCTCATCCTCTTAGCAGTCTTGCTAAATGGCAAATAATAATTCTGGCTGACAGTTTTTATATGAACGATGTAACTGTATTTCACAGCAAAGGGCTAAGTAGTGAAGGGCTATGGTTTAAGTGAGAAAGCTTGGGCTTTAATGGGTATAATCACTGAATTGAAAAGTTTAACTACATCAACAGGCAGCATGTACAATGACAGAGGATGGGAACATAAAATTTTGGCCAAATGGAAAAACAAAAAAGCCAAACACACTTGGAATGCCCCAGCCTGACTTTTAACACAAGGGAAGAACTGGATGCCTTTCACACTGACTTAGCGACCTTCTGTGGAAGAGAGCGCTCGCCTGCAGTCAGGCCAGTGTGAATTTTGATTCTGCTCCTTTCCAGCTCTGCGGTTTGGTGTGAGTCACCAAGCTCTAATATCTCAGTTTCTTCAGCTACCAACAGAGACAACTTATGAAATGTATAGAATCCATGCCTGGCATTTAATAAATTCCAGCTATCAATGAGAAAGTTTAAGAAAAGATGTTTGTGGAATTTTGTTTCTAAATTGAGTCAAAATAATGAGGCAAACTCCATTAGACTTTTGAACTATTTATAAACAGATTTTTCAATTTGGCTATTCTGTATCCGGATTATTTCAGAAAACAGGCAGTTTAATCTGTTGGAAGCCACTGCCCCTTCCCCATGAAAGGGTGAGAAGAGACAAAATACAGAGTTTTGCAACTCTTTCTACTATTGGTTCTTTTTCTTTCTTTCTTTTTTCTCACTACCAAAGTCAGTATGGAGTTTCTTTCTTTTCTTTAAAGCAAGATATTTCTATATAGTCCAGACTGGCCTTGAATTTGTGGTGATCCTCCTGCCTCAGCCTCTTGAGCGCTAGGATTACAAGCATGTACCACCACATCCAACTCTTTACTGTTTCTTCCGAGCTGCAAATATTTCTTTGATAACCCCCTGAAGTGGAACCTGAATGTGTTAACTGATTTGATCTAGAGGCTCAGCCATGTGCCAGATCTGGCCTATTGCCTGTTCTTAGAAATAAAGTTTTATTGGAACAATACTACAACCATTCATTTGTGTACTAACCATGGTGTTCCTGTACTACAGTGGCTGAGTTAAGGAGTTAGGGCTTGTATTGCCTAAAAATACTTACTATCTGGTCTTTTACTAAAAAGTTGTTGACCTCTAATCTAGTTCCTCAAATCTGCTTCTTTTCCTGTATTAACTGCGTAGGATAATGTGATCACATTCATTATTTAATCACGAGACCCAAAGATCCTGTGCTCATCTCTATGTGAAATTTCCCACTCCCTGCTCCAGCAATCCCCCGCTCAGTCTCAGTGCCCTGCCATTTGGGGCTTCTCACTGAGCAACCTCTCAGCTACTTGCAGAAGTGTGAGCTTCTCTTCTCTTGCCCAGTGAGACTCGGCTCAAAATCTCCTTCATCATATGCACACTCTGTGCCGTGGCACTAATGCAGTGCCCTGCACATAATAGGGGGTAAGTACCCTGACTAAATGCAAGCTATTTGAATTTAATTATTTTTTCTCCCAATATTTCTTTTGAGATTTAACGCTAATTCTACTCACACTCCCTTGCTGCTATCTATTTCATTCCTGCTCTGATCATTTGTGGAATTTATCACTCATCTCCTTTAATCTTAAGATGAGCAAAATGTCTCATTTCCTTGTCCAGAACAGGAAAGCATTTCTTTTCTTTTAAAGCCCTTTCAGGTGCACTGGCCCAATGCCTTCCACTGGGGGCAGCCTGACCGGAGGGTGAACCTATGGCCGCTGCTGAGACTCAATGGAACAGAAAGGCTGGCCCATCAGCTTGTGTCTTGTGGGAGTGGGACAGGGAGTCACGAGAGAATGGCTCAGTGAGTGAGCAGAATAGAATGGAAGGGGACCGTGGAGAGAAGCCAAGGAGTCCAATGAGCCACCACAGGCTATAGCCCACTGGGAGAAACGAAGGAAAGAAATATCCAGGAACAAAGGGCTGGGGCCTGGGAGAGGCCTGGGCAAGTTGACAGTCCCAGGATTCAGTTCTTCCCACCCATGGCCTGCATGTTCGTGTGTCCAAACCAGAGTGAGCTCCTTCATCTTATGACCCCAACAGCCTTCAGCATAGAAAGAAGCAAAGCCTGAACTTTACTTGGTGAAGACTGAACTTTATTATACTCCGTGGGCTTTAAGAAAAAGAATATAAGATTACTTTTGCACATTGTACAAGATATTCATCATCCCTGCAAACATACCATGCAAGTCCTGCAAGTGAGAGTCCGTGGGGCTTAAATTCACACACACTGCAGCAAACCCACTTTCGAGTCACCTCTGCTCACCTTCACGCAGGCCAGCATGAACCTGGACCACGGTACCAGGACCGAGAAGTGGAGGCTAATTCTAGCTGGGGAGCAGTGTTTATCTCTTTAATGTATATTAGAGAACCATTTTTTAAACTGTGTTTTTTTATTAGTACATGTTTGTAACACCTAATGATTACACTCCCTGTGGAGAGTTAGTACATGTGTATAACACATCTTAGTTCTTTTTTTTCTCCCCTCCACCTGTTGACTCCTCTTCCACTTGAGAAAGATTCACCTCCCTACTTCCTATTACCTATCTTATGATTTGCTCTTTATTACTATTTTGGGTTTCTCATATAAAAGAAACCATGGGATATTTAAGGTGTGTGTTTGATTTACTTCACTTAACATGATGATCTCAAAGTACAACCATTTCCCTACAAAAGACTGAAGTTTATCTTTTATATTTTCCTTATCCATTCATTTACTGATTGGACATAAAGGCTGTTTCCAAGATTTAGCTATTATGAGTTGTGCTGCTGTAAGCATGGATATGCATGCATCACTGTAATATGATGACTTTAACTCTTTTGGGAAGATACTGAAAAGGGGACTAACTGGGGCAAATGGAATTTCTATTTTATTTTTTTCTGATTTCCATAGTGATGGTACTGGTCTACCATCAATAATGTAGAAGGGTTCCCCCCTAAGCCCAGCCTCGCTAGCATTTGTGACTATTTGATTTCTTGATGATAGCCATTATTTCTGGAGTTAAGATGAAATTTCTGTTATTTTAATTTGCATTTAGAGAACCACTGTAAAGACCATCTGATGGAAATGTTCCCTACCACCTTAACACAACACTTTTCCATTTTTAGTTTAGTATAGCATTTATATCATTTAAAGCACTTAAGCAAATTTACTTTACATTAAGACTTCCTTGTCATGTTTTTTCCCCCCACCGTGAAGCCCCAAGGCTCACCTCCCAGGTCTGCGACAGCCGGCTGACAGAAGCAGTGTTGAGACCCATCACGATAGCAAAGAAGGAATTCAGGTTTCTCTGGGCTTTGCAGCTATGGGATAAAGCAAAGCACAAGACACTTTGAGGAAACATTCTTTCAAAGGGCAAACACACAAGACAAAGTTGAAAAGCTCCTTTTAGGTCACACAGTTCAGCCAAGGTACCCTTCAACGCCTGTAGAGGGGTGGCAGCCCCTCAGCTGTTTCTAACACAAAAGAAATGATTCCCTCCTTGCCTTCAGGAAAACTTCTCTGCTCTTGATTCTGTCCTGACATTTCATAAGATCCTTCCTCTTTTAAAACCTATTTTGTATGCATTTAAAGTTCCTGCTGAATGCTGTTTGAATTCATGTTTCTCTAGGCACCTACGCTCTGGTTTCACAGCTCTGTGGTCCTGTCTAGGTCATCAGTATGCTGTTGTGACAGACAAGCCCTACTTACCCCCGGGGTTAGACTCCCACTCCACTTAGACACATCGTCACCAACAAAATGCCTACTACATCCCGCATCTACTGAAAATGTGGCATGTGCTACTCTTTCACATCATCAGTCCCACATGGAGTTTAGGAGCAGGGTCTGAACAACTCTCTGCTTTTCTAGTTTAATACCATCTTACATTGTATTCTTCACTACCATCATCAATGGTTAAAAAAAAATAGGTCACCAAAAACATATTCCATAGTTTGCTCTCTTCTTCTGCTAGTGGAGACATTCTTGAGTTATATAAAATGCTACAGTCAATATTTTTATGCACAGGCTTTTCTGCCATTTTGTGAAATTTTTACATTAAGTTACACTGCCAGCCATTAACTGACAGTACTGCAGATAGCTAAGTTGGGTAGACAGTGACAGGCAGTTAGAAAGGGACCAGGTGGGAGAAGAGATGAGCAAACCACCCTTGCGATCAAGGTCTGAGTTGATAGAAATGAAGTCCCACGATGGAGACAGGTGGTTAGGCTTGTGGACCTCCCCAGAGACAAACAATAGCTCCAAGCTGCACTGTAGTACCATCTGCCCAGGAACCCTAAATAATGGATTCAGAGAAACAACATGACATGCAGACAGATAACCAGAATACTCTGAGTCCGGCTCCTGTCCGTCCAGAAATGCCTTTGTTCTTCTCCATGCTATGCACTCTTGCTGTGTACCTTGTTTTTCTACTGGCTTAGTGCTGGCTAAGTGATTATACCTGTAACCTACAGGTTGATCACTGTTTGACCCAAGGTAACCTCTGATGTTATTGTATAAAACTCCCAAGACTAAGAGCTTCAGCAGCGATCCACATTATGGATCCCTCAGCCTCTCAGGAGCTTTCCTATTCTTCACTTCCTTTGTCCTTGGGCTCAACCACTGTTTGAAATTGTGGGACACAAACTCAGCACACCTAACAGATTGGGAGTTACATTCCTGTAACAATAAGGCAAAAGCTATGAAGACTTTGAAGGTTTTCATTATATACCACAAACTGCTGTCTGCCGAAGCTATAACGATTTCCTGTTGCACAGGGAGGGAAAAAGAATGTATCGTTGAGAACCTGGGCAGTGGTTTTGACTGGTAGAGTAAAAAAAACACAGAAGCTGCACTCTGGCGGGTCTGCCTGCCTTACTGTAGGGCCTTGGCTCCAGGACAGGGAGGAAGGCCCTCGCCCGTGGACAGTGGAGCAGGAAAGTCACTGTTGCTTCCACATTTTGTTGGAGGCAACTGAGCGACACACATCTTGTAGATGCCACGCTGTGCAGCCCCCCAGTACGTCCTTCCCTGAGTCCTGCCAGCTTTGGCTCTGCCCATGGTCTGCGGGAGGTAAGGAGGCCCTGGGCCTGGTCCAGTTTATCCTTTTGCCTGCTTTCCTGACAACTTTGCTCTGGGTGGATCATGCTTGGGACAATCCATGAATAAACTGAAGTAAGAAAACCTGGTCTTAGACTTGGAAGACCATTTGTTTTTGGTAATTGCTGCTGCCTAAATCTTCAGTTCTATTTTAGGATTCTCCTCCTTAATTTGCCTTTTGCTTGGTTTGTTCTGTCCTTTCTTCCTTATCACATGACTTGAAAGCCCACAGCAGCCAAAACAGATAATGAATAGTTCATCTCTTATGAATCAGTCCATCTCTTGTTTGACGATTTGAAATACTGAGTCTTTTGCTGAAGCTCTTGTCAGGAAGCAGGCTCCTGCCTGCCAGGAGCAGCCTGGTTGGTGGACTCTCGGACTCCTGGGTACCCTTCTGACGGAGGCCCCACCAGCTATGTCACCCCCACACGACAGTGGGCTGCTTACGGCCACAGTGTGTGCCTATTTCATTTTTTATATTCTGTCCATATCCATCTGCCAAGTATGGAAAAAGTCTTTCAAATAGCATTTGCTCAAGTTGAACACAAAAACTTTTGGGGGAGTGGTTATGTTTTTTTAATAGCAAAAATTTATTACTCCTCTTCTTATTTCTCTATATAAAATTTTAGGTATAAGTTCCATTTTTTATCTTTTAGCTGCTCACAAACAATTTTCCTAATCCATATAACCTTTTCTTTTTGGTCACATGTCAAAACTCAGGCATCCACCCAGACACAAAATATCTGAATCATTTTTTAAAAAAGAATTAAACACAGATACAATTTCTATAGGAGACAAATTGATACAGTGTAAATATTAGGTATCACTCTAGTCAGTGATCTAGTCATGATCTTCTGTATCCATGGATCATTCATTCTGTGATAACTGTCTGATACCACATTCCCGTCCAGCACTCCCTCCTTTGTCTCTATGTAAGGAAATAAAATCCACTCAGTCCACAGAGGGTGGGGGATGGTGATGGTAAGGAAGGGAAACATGAATATGCAAATTGGATGCCTTAGGCAGGGAAAACACTTCATGACTGTGGAAATTGCTGTTTTCCCTTGGTTATTCCTACCAGTGTGATTATCACGAATTTAACTTTATGTTTCTGTTGGCATTCTATTCCACAGGCTAGGACAGAGACCAGTACCATAAATAATGCAAGAACATGGAGCTATACGGGAAAGATGTGTGAATATATTTTATTTCCCCAAGGATAGATACAGTCTTATAGCAGGAATGGAGCTGGGTGGTGTCCTTGGAGCATTAATGTCCTATTTTCTCATGTAACTGGCATTGATATGAAAGTTTTTAACCCCAAACAGCCTTGCCTTCAGAAATTTCACTGCCCATTTTAGAACCTCTTGGGTGAATTACAAAAATCTTTTTTTGCAGCAAAAAGCAGTCTAAAATTTAGACCTATCTGTTATCTCCCTTCCCACCACAGTCACAGCAGACCTCAGAAGCTCTTGCCTCAGTAAATGTGATAGCCCACTCTTGGGGGCTCTTTGCCTGTAGCGCAGTCTTGTGCTGCTTGCTGGCCAGCCTTCCTCAGGGGCAGCCCTGATTGTAACAGTCCTGTTCACTGACTTTCAAAGGATTTCTTCTGCCTCTGAACTCAGCTGAAATTCAAGATCCTTTACAGTTTGGGTGCATCCTCCCTTGGACAGCAGTCTGCCAGAGATTCTTTACAAATACTCCTCCATGCTTGCCAGATCCAAGGAGGAGGCTGCCTTGCCTGGCCACGGCTCTGCTTCTGTCTCCTGGGAGTTCCCTCCATTGGCAGAGTGCTTTTCTGACCTCTCTCTTACCTGTCAAATCCCACCCACAATTCAGATCTTCAAAGGTCAGTTTCATCTGTGTATTTCTTGACCCCTGGGAGGAGCTTTTCATTCTCTAAAGCCCTCAACAGAAGAGAGCTCACAGGAAGTTCCCCCTCCATTCTATTCTCAGCAGCAGGCTGAGCTGCCAAGTCTCCAATCCAGGACCAAGTGAGTGCAGACTCAGTCTAAATTTCTCATACTCTCTTGTACAGATGTGCACACATAATGAACCATCAGTGTATACATCCTGAATGTACCGCACTGTCAAGTAGTCAGCTCTCCACATCTTCTAGTTTCACGTCTGTGAATTCAACCAACTCCTGATCTTGGACTCTGTCTGTCTGTATCTATGAGGGTTGTATCAGTACCAATCATACAGATTTTTTTCTCTTTATTCCATAACCAATTTAGTGCACAACTATTCATGAGGCATGTATAGTGCATGGGTAGTATAAGTAATCGAGAGAGGATTTAAAGTATTTAGGAGGATGTATGTATTACACATGCAAATATTATACCATTACCATTCTACATAAAGGAAAGGAACACCCTTAGATTTCGGTATCCAAGGGAATCTTGAAATTAATGCTCTGGAAATAACAAAGGAAAACAGTATTTGAAAGCTGGTAAAAAAAAAAAAAAAAAAAAAAAAACAAAAACCTACTTTGAACACAAAGGAGAAATGCAATGGGAAGCCTGGGAAGCAAAAATAATTGGGAAAGATTTTGATCCATGCTTCTTATTTCTGTCAGGCAGCTGTCCAAACAACACTCTAGGACACCAATCTAGCATTTTAAGAGGCTCCCAGAACATTACCAAAATTTCATCTAACATTTACTGAGTCACTGTTCTTTACCACGTTTTGTGCCAATGACACAAGGATTCACTAGGGATAGTTCCTGTCCCTTGGAAGCTAAAAAAACTCAGCGAAAAAAATCTTGTATAAACAAACAGGTGGTAAAAGGTCCATGCATGCACAGGGACTTAGTTGACCACATATTTGAAAGTCAGGGATGGCTTCTGGAAGGAAGAAACATTTGACCAATGTCTTAAAGAATGGCAGCAATTGCTGGGTGGAAAGGGCCATTCTGGGCAGAATCGACCCCTGCGCAGGCACAGAGGATGGTTTGCCATTTGAAGCGGCTGGAGCACAGGGTAACATCCAGGAGAAGAGGGAAGGGGTAGGCGGGCTCTTCCGGGGCAGTCTTCTCACATTGAGTTTGTAAAAGTTCACACTGCAGGCAGCAAGGAGCCATGAGGATCCCAAGCTGCACCTGACTTCCAGTGATTCTTACTCCCTCACATCACTTTCTAGCCCAGTGCAGACTCCTCGGGCGTACTGTTCTCCCTTTTATTAGTTCTAAGTGTAGAACACAGGCTTTAGTCTGGTATTTTGACATTTACTTTAAGATATAAATACTTCAAATGCAAAGATATAAATACTTAAGAACAAAGCTTTTCAACCACTTAGTCCCTTAACTCACTACTACACTTTTACTTTCCAACCCTTATCATGATAGGGGGAGGTAGTGACGTCAATGCACCTTCTAAGATGTGAGGGTGAGCCCTAGTCACCACTAGAAACTTACTGAGCTGCGATTTTGATGAATTTTTTCACCAGCTGCACTCGCTTGCCCAGCTGGCTGCAAAGCAGAATCTCCGTGGCCACCCATAGCTGGACTTCATTGCACCTCTGGAGCAGGAGGCTGAGGTTCGCGGTGTGCTCCCCACTTCCCTGTCTGCTGAATGTGAAGTAGATCAGCTCTTGCTGAAAGAAAATGTATTCATTCCAGGGTTTATTTTTAGGGCATTAGGTCAAGCTGACACAAAATGCAGTCCATTTATAAGAGCTGCCTCAGGAAGCCATTCCTGATCATTAACACATTGACAGGAAACATAGCAAACAATAGTATATTAAACTCAAAATGACTATCCTTTAGTTCTAGAGACACCTTATTCAATAATGCTCACCTAGAATACTTATGTGAAAATATTTTTTTTTAGAATATAAAGAAGACAACTTTACATGAAAATCTAAACCATTTTAAAGCTTAAATCAAGGCTAAATGGAATCCTCAAACTTCTACAACTTCACTTTTACTTGGGAAAACCCAAGTGAAAATGAGCACGAGCACTACTAATATTTGTTAAGGTGCACATCAGACCCACTAGTTACCAAATTTTAGTGTGAATGAGGAAAAACCTGGAGAACTGTTAAAGCTCAGATTGTTGGACCTACCTCCAATTTCTGATCAGTAGGTCTGTGGAGGAGCTGCAGGAACAACCCTTTCTCTCCCTCTTTTTTCCCCTTTCTTTGTTTGTTTCAATGTACAGCACAGTACAATGTACAGTACAATAGTGTGTAGGCCCATGTTGAACTTGCAGAATGTTACTCTTTTTTTTGTCTTTTTCTATTTTATCGGTACCGGGGATCGAACACACAACTGCCTGCTTGCAAGGCAGGTGCTTATGCTGCTGAGCTAAATCCTCAGCCCCCGCAGAATGTTACTCTTTTGAATAACTGGTACTATACATAGGTGCACACCACCATGCATGGCTATGAAAATCTGTGAGTCTAGCAAGTTTCCAGGTGGTGCTGGTAATGTGGCTTGGTCAACTGCCCTTTGAAAAGCACTGATAGAAGACATAGTAAAAATTAAATAGAAAGGAACATAAGATTAAGGGCTGGGTCCAATACTTTACAAAAAGAGGCAGGACCAACTATATCAACAAATGGCAGAATAAATACCATTGTATGAGACTGTAACATTTTTCATCTCCTAACTCATGTGAGAATTTCCACCAGCCAAATTTACTCATTATCATTAGCATTTTTCTCTTAATCTATTATTTAAAATGTATAATCTGTCTTCAATAGAGCACTGGAGAAGTTGGTGGACAGTAGATCTGAAGATACCCACAATTTACAAGAAGGTATTTGTAGTCTTACAGCACAATCCAAATTTATAAATGTTCTTATGTCAGTGGATGAACATGTGTATAATTATATACATACATACATACAAATGATTCTGATGTAACTATTGTAAACATAAACAAAAATATGACTATCAAAGGTAAAAATGTTTTTTATTCTAAGCATCATGTATCTATATGTCATATTCCCATATAAATGTACACAAACATATAAAAGTCCAGCTGATTCATACTAATTTATATGATAAGCAATATTATATAAGCACTAGGAGTAAATACAGAAGGGTCATATATTCTGATTTCACTAGGTCAGACTTCTAATATATTTCAAGCCCCCACATATCTCTTGAGCCATGTTATCCCTAGCATAACTAAATGACCACATGAATAAATTTCTTGAATTTACAGTTAAAAAAGCATTAGTGCTTTTAATCCTTTCATTATAGACTTACCTCGTGAATTGAATTGAAGAGACTCCAATCAAAATTCATTAACTCTAGAGCAAGGTCCCAAGTGTTCATTCCCAAAATCCTCATAGACCTTTGCTGTGATTCCTCATTTTCTGCAAAAGGGTTCTAACCAACAGGAGCAAAAGGATTCTTAGTAAGTTCTAAATGTTTTACAGACCAGCAGCTGCCTGTGGAAAAGCACTAGAAGGCCAGATTAGAAAACTAATCTTTCCCAAGTACACTTAATTTTTTCCCTAGTCTCTTCACCATCAGTGAGTTAGAGCCAATTTAGGAACTAGTCTTGGAAACAGTAGAAAGTGATCAATGATATTTCACTGAATCAGCCAGCCCCTCCCCCTTGAGCTCACACTCACCCACCTACCAATCTGATTATAAAACACTGCCCTGGCAGACAGAATAATGAAAGGGAAACCTCTGAAATCACTTTGGCTTCTGGTAAAGAATTAATGTGCCAGCAGGGTTAGTATAAAAACAAACAAAAGAAATGTCACAATGCACTTCAATAAAGACAGACATGGCTTTTACAGGAAATGTCTAATATGTCTCATCCCAGACACATATTTACAAATTTTATAACGCCCATGGAAAGTGAAAAAATTTAACATGAAAAAAAAAAAAAAAGACGATGATGAAGAAGAAAAAAGCTGTTTCATTTATACCCCACAGTAGCTGTAGGTATCGACTGCTTTTCCCACATATACGGAGCCTCACTGCTATGAGGCTGGTAACACTACTTCCTCAAAAACGTGAAAGTATGAAATGGCAGCACAGCTTTCAATGTATCATCATTGTTAAAGTTATTAAAAAATAATTTGGCACCTTTCCAAAGTACTTGATATTTCCTAATTAAAATATAAATTCTTCCATTTAAGCGAACTATTCTTGAATAGGTAATGACTGAAAAGCAAAAAGAATTGGGGCTCCGCAAAAAATAAATGGCATAGTAGGATAAAGAGGCTGTATCACGGCTGCCACATAGTAATCCCTGCTTCCTACCTAAAAGATAAATCATTTGCATTTTAGAAGTTTTTCACTAATGAAAAAATTTCCAACTTTTGGAAACTAATGACAAAAGAGCTTCATAGAGCTTTCCTGTAGGACTGACTCTCCTCAGAGCAGGTCTGGGCACAGACCACCTGTGTTCTCAGTGTGAGACTTAGTGTGGAGCCCACAAAGCCCTAGATGAATGACCCTCCAGATTATTGGAGGGGCTGAGACGGGAATCCTCGGTTTCTCAGGTACTGGCTGGTGTAGTACTGGCTAGGTGAGGGCCTGACAGCCAGCCCCAGACTGAGATAGAAACAGAAGTTGTGAAGCAACATTAATACCTGCTGAATCATTTGAAGATGCAGGGATATATTTACTTGGCTTTCTGTCTCTCTTATCTTTACCAAAAGAAGTCTTTTATCCTGGTGTCTCCCTTTGGTTATTCAAAGGGTTTTGTGCCCTGCACAAAAACACACTGTATGTTTCTCTATGCTATTCCTTCACAGTGCTAATTCCTGATTGCTAAGGTTTACTAATGTGAAGGTGCTAGTGGGTACTGCGACTTCATGCATGATTCAATGTTCTGTTTTGACTGAAATATTCCAGGGATGAGTTGTCTCAGTTGACAACATGGGTATACACACGGCGGTGTCCAAAGCTGGTGAGACATTCAAGGGCAGGGTGGAGTCTGGCTCCCTGTAGAAAGTTCTGCACGGCACCCTTGTATTCCACTGAGTCATGCCCAGGCCTGCCTTTGACTCTCCAAAGCCCTGTAGAGTGGGAGAAGCCAGCCAGAGCCAAGCACTGGAACAGCAGGAGGAGGCTGTGTGGTGGGCGTGGAGGGAATGAGGACCATTAGACCATGGCCCCTCACGAGCAGCCCACAGCAGCTGCATAACAGCTTGTCCTCCTCCACGTGGAAGGATAAAATCAATCTCCTGCTTTACTCAGAAATGGTGTGCAGTTTGTCTTTTTTCCAAGAAGATATTTCACAGGACCTGTGACTCACAGGAGCAAAGAATGGGACAGGTCCAATTAAAGCAAAGGGTTCCCTATTTCTCTATTTCTTCCTCTTTATTGACAAATTAAAGGAATGTGCAGGGGCTTCAGAGTGAAACAGAATGGTATTTAACGCACTGACACTCATCCTTTCTTGGCTACAAAAGGTGAGGGAAAGTTACTCAGTCTTTCCAAACCTCACAGGGATACTGGAAGTGTTAAATAAGAAACTGTACCTAAATGACCTAGCACATGCATGCCTGGTTTTAAGGATGACAGGTCACAGCAATTGACATTATTCTCACAACTTGATAGCTTATGGATAATTTTACATAAATACTTTTGGTAAAGCAATTTTAGTTATCCCATATAATATAAAGATATTTCAATTACAGTATACATATAACAGAAGCCACTTGGAAGACCCACACCATGGGTCCCTTTCATGGAAAGAAAAAAGTCTAAAAAGACTGGATCCCACTGTTAGAGCCTGCTCCTTCCAGATGCTGATGGAGCTAGACAGGGCCTGTCTTTCAGAAAGCAACCACAAGACTGAGATCCTTCAGTAGGAAAACAACAAACAAGGTTCATTCAAGCATAACTGTTCTTCAAATTTAAACTGAAAACAACTTAAAGGAAGAGTTCTACATTTCTTCAAACCCCCAAGGAGCATCTGATGAGGGTAATGATCTCATCTTACACAGGGAAGGCTGATAATTCACTCTTTCAAGGACATGCAACACCATTAGTGCATCAACTGAACCGGGTCTCTTTCCACTCAAATCTGCCTACAGTGCCTTCTCAGCCTGCTCGCCATATCTACAACAAAAAGAAGCTGAATTGAAATTTCAAGAGAGGGAGTCATTTGTCTCAAATCCCTTATTTCAAAGAATCAGACAGAAGCAAGGATAACTGGGCTTGGTTACATTCCAGCACTCTGGGAGGCTGAGGCAAGAGGATCCAAAGTTTGAGCTTTGCCCTGGCCAGTTAGTAACTAGCAAGAACTTGTCTTAAAAACAAAACAAAACAAAAAAAGTCAGAGCATGTAACTCATTCACATATACACACTGATCCTGATGTTTCTGTATTTTAACCTTGAGGTTAGAGATACTTACCAAAGTATCTGCTAGGTCTTTTCGGTAGACATAAATCCGACCAGATGGTTCCAGGGACTTGGAGAGGACCAAGTCATTTGACTGAAGCTCATGCTTTTCTTTAATCACAAAAAAAAAGAGAAAAGGTTTAAAAAGGAAAAAACATCAGCAGGCCTGCACAGTACACACAGTAAAACTTACGAAACAAAACAAAAAAAAGTGCTGAAAAGCACTATAACTAGGATGTAAATGGAAGTAATTCAGTTCTTCACACTATACAAAGATGCTAATGGTATCCTGGACATCACTGATTAGCACTCCTAGAATGAAGCCCTCTTGATGGCCCTCTTGTACTATTTAATCATTCTTTAGAACGACAGCTTAAGCAAGAAAGCAAAATTTACCCCTAATCCCATCTCTAAAATAACCACACACAAGTATTTGTAATTATGTATATGCAAGCATTCATAATCATTCGTACACATAAACATTTGTAACCACTCCATATATGGCTTTATATTCTACTTCATTATAGGCACTTACCCAGTTACTGAAATCATTTATATGGATGATGTTTAATTGGTTATGTAGCAGTCTTTTATGCCATCATTTAATCTTTTCTCTACTGTTGGACATTTAATGGTTTCCAATTGTTTTGGTCATATACACTAAACAGCATAATATATGTTAAATGCTAGCACAGGCCTGCATAACAAGCATTTGATAAATGGGTTCTATAATTATAGTGGCCATAATATGTATTGCGGAAGTCAGTGTTTTTGTGCATAAATCCTTGTCTGCTTATAGATGATTTTCTTAAGACAAATTCCCAGTCCTGAAATTACTGGATCAGAAGGATGAATAATGTTAAAGTGTTTGATATGAAGTGTTTTCCAGTTCTTCTTACTTAGAAAATAAATCAATACATTTTCCTAAAAGTAAGTAGAAAACTTGTACACTGACCAGCACTGATTATTGCCTTGAGTAAGCTTGCTATTTTACTAAAACTAACAAAATTCTCTCATTATATTTTGTATTTCTTTTCTAAAACTGGGAAATGAAGAGGTTGGTATGGTGGTGTGCACCTGTAATCTCAGCACTTGGGAGGCTGAATCAGGAGGATCAACATAAGTATGAGGCCAGCCTAGGGTACCCAGTGAGTTCAGTGTGCACTATAAAGGGAGACTCTGTCTCAAAAAACCAAAACTAAATAAATAAATAAATAAATAAGGAATTGAACTCAGGTACTTTGTACTGAGCTATTCTCAACTCTTTTTATTTGATACCAGGTCTCATTAAGTTGCTAAATGGGCCAGGCTGCACTTGAATTTGTAATCCTGCCTCAGCCTCCCAGAGCGCTGGGATTCTAGATGTGAACCTTTGCACCTGGTTCTATTTTGTATTTTCTATTAGTGAGGTTGAATATTTTATGTGTATTTCTCTTTTGTTTTGAGACAGGGTCTCACTGTGTAGTTCAGACTGGCCTTGAACTCACTAGGTAGCCTAGGCTGATCTCAAACTCACATCAATTCTCCAGCCTTAGCCTCCCAAGCTCTGGGATTACAGGTGCGTGCTACCACAGCTGGACTTGCATATTTCTCTTCTACTCCACTTCTCTTATTGTACACTGTTCCTATCCGTTGACTTTTTATTTTTAAAGCTAGTTGAATTCTTCTAATAATACAATAGCTTTCATCACAGAAAACACCTTCCTCCAAAGTGCAAAATACATACAGAAATATCTAACATAAATCTAGAGTTTATTCCTCGTGATATCATCAAGTTCTCCTAAGGCAGCCTTTCAGTAATCCAGGATGATTGAGAAATGCAATATTCCAAATACATAGTCATGACATAGAAAACACTACAGGAACAAAACACACACACAAACATTCCTGGGCCTTTAACCTGCTACTCATTAAAAACATGATTTGTGTCTATTCCTAACACAAACTGAAAAGTGGTTTTTGCTAAGATCTGTGACTCTTCACTAGGGCCTAGAGATGCCCATTAGGTAAAAATCACAAAGCTTGACATTCACTCTGTGAAACTCTGGGCCAAGTCTGAAAGTTGGGAAAACAAGTTTATTAGCCCTAAACTTACCTATCTTATTACCCTTAAAGATCAAGAGCAGTTATTTCCAGAAGTCTCCACTGTTCTAAACCTATGGTTACCTTGGATTCCTGCAGAGCCCCACACGACTGAGACTGTTTCAGGTCGTGAGGATTCCTCTCAAGGGAACCCAGCTGCCCCATACATCTGAGAATACAATCAGAGGCAGGCTGAATCCCCAGTAGTCCCTGGTCCCCACCCTAATCAGTACAACAGTGTGGGGCTATGGACATCTATGATCGATGGCCCCACACCACTGGATTCTGAAGTTTTTCAGGTTTATTAACATACTGTAAAAGACTGAAACTGAATTTAACCTCTGAATAAGTGGGCAGGTTATTGTTATAATATCCTCTACATGTCTACCTTTACAAAAGAGCTAGAAAACTTCTGAAGCTATGCGAACAGTTCTGCTTCTTTTAGAAAAAAGCCACAAAACCTCTAACAATTCTATCTTTAAACTTTTTGACAAAAAGAACAGATCTCATCATTTCATACTGAAGTAGTGGTGAAACATTGTGAAAAATTATGCAACTAGAGCAAGGAATACATTAAGCGCTGTTTTAATTTTAATTAAAACGATGTTTTGGAGATAATAAAATACAGTAAGAAATGCTCTATAGACCAAAAAAAAAAAAAAAAAAAAAAAAAAAAGACAACCTAAGGCATGGAAAATGATGGCACGTTTCCAAATCTGTGAGATAATTCAGGAGACAAGCAGATATTTCCCAAGCTGATTAGCAATGGATCTATACACATTAGAATACCACTGCCCACCCTGATGAATCTAACTTAATGGAGCATGAAAATGGTACTTCACAGCCATCAAATAGATACTGGGTGGTGGGAGCCATGCTTCAGCTGCCAGATTCTGAGTGGCCTGAATAAAATTAGATCCTTAAGGACATGGGTCGCAGCTGTGTTTTGAAGTTTACTTGAGTCTCTTCCTTCTCCGGCACCTCTCAGCTCAGAGTGGACATAGTGGTCACTATATGAAGTACTACTATCTTGAGAGACACATGCTGGTTTTGATGAAGGTTAATACTGTCATTTAATGTTTTTGGTCATTCAAACAGTAAGCATAAAATCCATTTATAAAAACATTGATCTGAACAATATTAAAAATTTAACTTCTTGATCAAAATTCATAAGGTCTAAATGTTTCTCATATTTTTGCCTCATGCATGCTTAGCCTCTGATCTATCAGTGAGCTACACCCCCAGCCCTACATGACATTTGACAGAATGTATAGCAAGAGTTCTTACGCCTGAGAAGGGCTCTGCTTGCACATGGAACCGATGTGCTTACAGGACCACTCTACCTGCCGATGAACAACAAAGCAATTGGAGCAAAATTTTGTTGCATAATATGTTAATGTGGAATATATTCTGGGGTTCACCCTTTTCTATAGCATAAGAAGAGGGGCTCCATCTATTTCCCTTCTCCCCTCCCAGGGTGATTAATTCACACAGTACTGCTGCCTTTTGTCGACTACTGATGCTCCGTTACTTTCTGTGTATTTTCCTCAGGGTTAATGGGATATTAAATAAAGATTGTAAGCCAAAAAGGAAGCCAGAGACATTGAAATCTGACAGGCCCCAGTGGAAACCAAGGGGTCTGTTAGGCAACATAGATCAATAATGTCAGCTTGTAATCTGTGTGATCTTATTCAAAACAGACAATGAACCTTTCTCTGGGGGTGAATAAGACCCAGCAGAAGGAGGCTTTCATCAGTTCTCACTCCCCAAGCCCACCAGGGGGATGCTGCCCTGTGAGTTTTAGCTCAGTGTACATTTCCTTTTCTGCCAGTGGGTAGTCTACACATTAAATTGTCAGCCAGCAATGTGACTAGTTCAAGGCCATCTTTCTTCTTCTTTTTAGTCTTCTCTCCAGTAATTTCATTCTTTAGCAATTTCCCAAGTTCACTTAAAATGAAAATAAAAGGCTTATCTAGAGTACAAAATACAAAAAACTTGATAACGCTATAATGCATTTCAAAATACCGGCCTCCTCTCTATTCAGTTCTTGGGGAGGAAATTCAGTATCCAGTGATATCTTACTGTTGTCATGGAAACACCTCTGGTAGGCAGCTTCTTATTGTTACTGTGGTCATCCAGCTGCGGGCTCAGAAGGGAAGAGCAGTATAGTTCCTCTGCAGAAGATTTTTTTTTTTTTGGTACTGGGGATTGAACCTGCGACCTTCTGCTTGCCAGGTAGTTGCTAATGCTGCTGAGCTAAATCCCCTATAGCTCCTCTACAAAAATCTTAACTTTCTCTTTTGGGAGATGATTCAGTGAAAAAACAATATTCAAAGACAGAAAATAACTTACCCCCGGAGAACATGATGGCCACCAGAGCCAGATCCTCTTCTGTATGCTGGATCTTTTCTGCTACGACCTTCAGGATTTCCTGGGCTGTACTGGAAACCTTCGCCTTCACACTGACATAGGAGTGCTCTGTTATGTATACATGGCAAAAAACTGAAAAAGTCAAAAGGATTGTTCATAAGCAGAAGTCTGGTCATTTGGTGCAGACTACACCAAACCGAGGCATCCACCTTGCTATTCTATTTAATACAAAGCATATACAACTAGATGCACACATTCGCATATGCACACAAGGGACAGAGGTATCTTTCTATGAATGTCACCTGCAAACACAGGAGACACAGATGCTACAAAGCTGGCAAAATGGCACATGTGGTAGATGGGCTGCACATACTGAAGGGGAGAATGAGTCACACCAAAGTGTGCTCGTGTGGAAACCCTGCTTCACAGACTGTACTTTTGAATCCTTCATTAAGAACTGCTGAGATCTCCTAAAGCAACATATTAAAATGTCAGTCTCAGTGGCTCAATCAAGAACAATGCACTTGCTATTAGAGTTCTCATGAACATAGATAAAAATCTGTCACCTGCCTAGTTTTTTCTGTTTAGCTTTCTCAGTCATTTAAGAATGACATCCCTGCCCCCACATCAAAGTGGTGATGAGTTTCCTTGCCAAATGGAGTTCACATTTCTAGCCTTTTTAATTTCCTTTCTACTGTTTGTGATAATAATTATTACTAGGATATTATCACTGTTAGAGTGAACAGGTTCTGGAAAATTTTTTCTTTTTGATTTTAATAGCAAAAATTATCTTAATGCCAATGGACATCACTGACACCTTGCTTCTTGTATCAACTATTCTGAATGTTTGGGAAGAACATTAGCTGCTTGAGAACAAACAGAAGGAGAACAACAAACTTAGATATGCTGTTCTTTTGCAATGCAACAGCTCTTAGAGAAATTTTATGTGCAATTTAAATAGCACTATAAAAATAAGCCCAGAAATGCTTTTATAGAAATGCAAATGAAGCAAAAGCCTAACCACAAGCTGACATGTACAGAGCCTCAAAGTAAACATACTACTGGGAGGTAGTTGACAGATTTTGTTTGATTTCATTGGGTATGCCACTAAAACAATAGCTTCTAACAAATAATTGTTTTATAGTTTGTCAAGAAAATTGTGAGGTGGGGAGAAAAAAAAAAGACTTTCCTTCTCCTATATTAAAAAGCAATTTTTGAGCAAGGCCAAAGTCCAGTCTACAAAGAAGGAAATTAGGATAAATTTGTAGCTTGCTTAATAGACTGATGAGAAAAAAAGCCCAGGGGCCTTGAAATACTTAGCCTCTTCCAAGCTCATCTTGGAAAACTATACAATTAAATTGTAAGACGAGTGGGCAAGAAAGGTCAGCAATTAACAAATTAGGAGGTAAGATAATTTTGTTTCCTCTTTCACTTGGGGGAGATGACTTAATGTGACACAGCAGAACTTCAGCCACCAGCTGCTTTGTATATAAACACCACAAAAGAGAGAGAGAAGCTTGTGACATTTTGTAATTTTAACAATTAAAAAATTGGACAAATATGAAATGTTTATGCTTTGAACTTCAGCCAATGGAGAAAGGTGAGTCAAAAGAGAATCTCAAATTCACAATAGCATAAACATTTTTTTTAATTCACTCTTTTCCAGCTTTACCTTTAATTCAATCTTTATCCAGCTAGGAGGAAACCACTGGCATCATTCTGGTTCTGATATAAATATTCACACTGAAAAGCATACCAGCACCTACAGATGGTAAAAAGGGCCTTTTCCCCTGTGTTGCATGAAAAGCCGTCTTCACTGGAGGCCACGATCCCCCTCTGCTAAGAAGCAGTGAGCGAGTAAGGAGGATGCACTCCAAGTGTGGCATCGCCTGTTCTGCCTTGCCTTGGGGGAATTTCTACCACACACCCGTCCTTTTATCATTCTCTCCAAAATGTCCTTCTCTAACTCTCAGTGACTGGTTCAGCCAAAACCCTGCACACTGGCTTTGGTGGCTTTTGCACTTAGTTGTAGGCTAAGGACTGACAGAGTTGGGGAGCTGGGAAGAAGGTTCAGGGAAGACAAGGCTGAGTTTCTGGTGTATTTCACACCTCTGTCCTAGAACACAAGAAGGCTCTTTGCATCCTCTCCTTTCCTCGCTTCCCAAACTAAATATATTGTTGGTTGTGAGGACAGTGTTATAAGACCTAAGATGACTGTAATCTCAAGCAACAAAAGGAAAACTAAATGTCTGTCAGAGTGGGGAGACTGAGAAATGACAGCTAAACACAGGAAATGTGTTCGGAGTGGCCTGTGATGGTGACCAGCTATGAGTCCACCTACCCCAAACCTTGCTTAAAACCCTACTCACATTCCTCTGTTTCCGCCACAGTTGCTCTGTGCTGGAGCCAGTTCTCCTTAAGACTGAATTGGTGGAAAAGGGTTTTATTCTGTGAGAAGGGAGAAAGAGAACAATGAATGAATGTATTCCTGCCCTTTGGAAAACCATAGCCGATTACAACATGTTCCAAAAGAGCTAGCCAACTTCTTAAAAAATATGAAATCCACCCATCCAATCTTAGAGAAATATACTGGGAGTAGCCTCAACTAATAAATAGGGAGGTGGAGATTCTGGGGCAATGGAATGGACCTTAGCCAAAGTCCAGTAGCAGGCAAAAAGCTCTTGAAATGATTCCCTCCACATGCCAGAGAACACCCCCACGGCTCACCTCAGCTACTCCAGACTTCCCCAGATTCTGCTAAGACATGGTTTCCCCAAGCAATAGGAACCTCCAAGTCACATTAGCACAATCAGAGCTTCTGCTTTTTACATTTTTCACAGCAACAACTCTATGAAATCCTTTCATACTCCTAATGTAGTACATGGCCTTTCTTAAAAGAAATGGGTACACTGTCCATTACAATTACCCATCTATAAAACTTGGGCCCGACATTGCAATCTGTATTTCCCCTTTATCTAGTTAAACAAGAACATATTCATGCTCACTACCATCCCTCTTTCTGTTAGGTTGAGAGTACAAACCTCTTCTTTACATATATTTCTTATACTTTGAGTCAAGACTCTTACTTAGATTTCTGAAATAAACTGTAAAGTTGATGCTTTAGTCAGATGCATTTTAATTGTGAAGAAATGCCAACTCAGACAAGGCAAGGTTTCCAAACCAGAGCACCCCATTTCAGATACAGGAGGGTCTGCCTACCTTCCTTTGTGGTGAATATTCATCTACAGTGCTGAAAAGAAAAAGTTAAGGAGTTAGTCTTCTTCTCAGACTCAGGATGATGCTATTGTTGTTATGGAGGACTAATTTTCAGGCAACAGGTAGAGGACTTTCTTCTTTAAAAAAAGATAAAACACCTGCAATTTAGGAACCTCAGACAAAGAAAGGGACTGTGACTTTGCGGCCTGCCTGGGTAACTCAGTGAGACCCTGTCTCAAAACAAGAGCATAAATAGAAAGGAGTAGAAATGTAGCTTATGACTTGAGTATTTGCCTACCATGTGTAAGGACCTAGTTCACTGTCCACCAACACACACACTTGCACACACCACAGTATTCACTAATTTACTATATATAGCACATTTGACATTGGGCTTTGGATTTCAAACAAACCAGTAAGCAAAGAAGTTACCCATTCAGCTGGTATATTGTGCTTCCTTCCCCAAAAGTAAAGCCAGGAATTTATGGAGAAACTGGATTTATTATGTCCATGGAAACTCAATCCACAGAAATTCAGTGGGTTTTAGTTTTTTTTTTTTTTTTTTTTTTTGGTTTTGAGTAGCAATATTTAGTATACATAAATGTTTTTCTCATATAGCAGAGGATTTTAGGTGAAATTATTATTTAGATAACTAAATAATTCAGCATGTTTTCCAGGATATTTCTCCATCTGACAGAATGGGGAACATCCTACAGCTTGATCCTCACTGCTAAGTACTTTCTGCAGGCCTCTTCCCCTCAGATGGAACTTGCCCTGGGGACATTTTCATATCTTTAGGTTAACCACAAATTGCAGATCCCATCTTAAGAGTCAGAAAAAAACACTTTCTCCTCTATTCATACACTAGGAGTAGGCAAAAATGTGACAACAAAACATTTGAGGTTCAAATTTTCTTCTAGAATGTAAGAGTATTTCATAATCTTACACAAAGAAAGATTCATGGAATCACGCCTTCGTTTTTATCAATACAGGGGATTGAAAGCTAAGCACACACTCTACCACTGAGTTACACCCCTAACTCAATCACTTCATATACTTTTCTTATTTTAATCTAGTATTTCTCAATCTAAGGTTCGATAGAATGTACTAAATTTTACCGATATATTAACAAAATTCTACTGATGTAGTAGTTAGTTAATGCAGAAGTCTGTCTCATAGCATGAAGCAACTTGCACATGAGATGACTTTGATTTCAATGTTGTCTTTCCTCCTTGTATTTCATTTCATATTAATAGCTTATACTATGTTAGCCTAAAGTTATGAATATTTAACACATTGCAGACTGTAAAAAAAAGATGACTGTAACTCATAATATTCATTTCTGTTCTCTTTCACGTGATTTCTAAATGTCTAAATGTGCAATTTTGATGATTGTGAACTAAAGCTGTTAAATAGTTTGTTTGACCCTTAGATAGATTTTTACTTTGCAACAGGATACTTTTTACTAAAATTAGATAAGGACTTAAATCTCAAATCAGTAATCTGAAAGGGCTGAACTTGCATTTTTTTTCTTAGAATTGCATGTATGACTGCTGCAATCATAACAAAAGCTTTCCCAATTAGTACAAACAGTGCACTATAAATCACAGAACGTTCCCTCAGATGAACTGTTTAAACTATATCTGAAAACCAAATGAAGACTTGATGTTTTCAGTTACCAAAACTAATAAGGAGTGTCAGTGGTAAAACCGAGGAAAATCATGTGCAGTGAAGCTGCACGATTAATGAGCATTGTTTATGGGATGCTTGAACCTGCCCAGAATCAGTGAGTTAATGGCTTTAATCTTTCTGAATTGATAAGAAATTGCAAGGAACTCATAAAATTGAGTTTCTGGAATGTTCCATGACTCACTGGGACTTATTCATAAAACTTTTTTCTTTGTATAGATAAAGCTATAAGACCCCAAATGATAAGCTAAATATGTAGACTTAAATAATAACCTATTAAATAGTTGTTTTCAAACTCCCAGATAGTTATGACCTAGTTTGTTTAAATCATGTAAAATAGAATTCAATAAGCTTGATATAGCATTCTTGCATTTTGAGATTGAAAAATACACAATTTACCCTGATAAGCTAAGGAAAGAAAACGAATCCCAGAAACAAAAATGTTCAAAACCACTGAGGTTAGTATTACAAGACTGTAATCCCAGCACTCTGGGAGGCTAAAGCACAAGGACTGCAAGCCCAAGTGCAGCTTGGGCAATTTCATGACATTCTCTCTCTAGAGATAAAAAGGACTGGGTGTATAATCTCTGTGCAAAAGCTCTGGGTTCAATCCCAAGTACAGGAAAAAAAAAATCCAACCACCGAAATGATAAAAACAAAATCACAATGCTCAAAATCAACTTTATGCATGATATTCTGGTAAGAAAAATTAAATACTTACTGACGACGATGCATTCCAAGTATCTTTTGAAATTCTTTTAACTCTTTTTCAAGTATTGGATATTCATAGACATCATCCAGTACATTCCTATATATGGTCTGGAAAACACAAATGGCAGCTGAAATTGTTTAATGCCCATTTCCTAAGGATTAAGATTAAGACAGTGAGTGCTGGGGATACAGCTCTTGGTAGAGCACGTGCATAGTATGTGTGAAGTTCAGGGTTTAATCCACCACCAACAAAAAAGACTCAGGTATCAGTTATCCCGCTCAGTGGAATCCAAGACAGTGTATGGGTTGAATCTTAGCCATCCAATCAACTGCTGAAGATGCTTTAGGTAAGAAATGCTGGAAACAGAGATTCTATTGCCTACACAAAACGTCTATGCCTGTCAGGCATGGTTGCACACGCCTATAATCCCAGAACTAGGGGAGCTAAGGCAGGAGGCTTGCCATGAGTTTGAGGACTGTCTGGGTTACACAATGAGTTCAAGGCCAGATTGAACTACATTGCAAGATTCTGTTTCAAAAAAAAAAAAAAAAAAATTATGCCTACTTTATATCTTAAATAATATCGACATAATCATTTGGAAAGAAAAAATATTAATCAGTTGTTTTGAAAATAACATGAGTTCAGGTAAAATGCTGGGTAAACCTGTTTTTAACTAGGTGTCTAAACATTACACGTAAAGTAATTTCTTTCATGAAAGATAGAAGCAGGTTAGGCACTTGCTTATTCTAAAATAAATCTCATCTTAGCTAGAATTCCATGTAGCCTTCATCTACACACTTACTATGGTTTTGAGAGTCAAAGGATTTCTATCTATTCCAGAAAACTGTCTGTGTTAAAAAGGTATTGCAGTCTATTAATTAGAAAATGAATTAATTTGAAATGTAAATGTAGATTTTTTTTCAAATCATCATTGCTTAAAAGTCTCAAAATCATGTTCTTAAATTACATACTATATGTGGTCAATGTAATTTTCTTCTTTTTTCCTTGTTGTATTGGGGATTTAATCCTGGGCCTTCACATGAGCTAGACAGCCAGATTTCACTCCCCTCACTTTTTGAAGACAGGGTCTTACTAAGTCCTTAAATTGCCCAAAATGGGCAAAAACTCATAATCCTCCTGTTTTACGTTCTCTGAATGCTGGGATTACAAAGCTGTGCCATTAGACCTGGCTGGTCAATGTAATCTTTAAGTGATAACGCTTTTTAAATGGTATTTTTAAAAAGATAGAAATATTACATAGATATAGGACTGGTTAATTTAAAGCTATAATGAATCTCAATATATTAAATAGTATCAAAAATTGAAGTATATTTTTGTTTACCTTTATTTCATTTGCAATCAAAATTCTCATGACTTAAATTATTAAGCATGAACATTTCCTTCTGCATTTTTTCATATTAAAAAATTTGAAATTTTAAAAAAGCTTTCTATGTAAGGAAAAGCAAATTTTAAATAGGGACTATCAGGCCTCAGAAATACAGATGCATTTATATTTTCTCCAAATCACAACTTGATTATCAAAAAAAAGTTGAATGACTGTTAGATACAAATGAGAATTTTGAAATATGTAACCGGAATAAAACCAGTCACCTGGTGTTAAAGACTCTCAGGAAGCCTTAATTACCTTTAAAAACATTTTTGAATGTTCATCCTCATGCAGCCAATCTTTGTACAGAGCAATCCACTGGGAAACCAGATGCAAGACTTTACGTTTCCTACAAGGGACATCTGAATTTTCTTCTTTGCCTTGATACTTTTTAGCAGAATAGGTGCAAATGGTTAAGAAAGAACATTATGTTGTTGAAATTAAACACACACACACACACACACACACACACACACACAGATCCACTTACTCTAGTTTTTACACAATAGGCTAAAACATAATTTTCACAAAGGAAAAAGAGAACACACACAGTGGAGCAAAAGGTATGCACTGAAAAGAACAAAAGCAAACTGACAAATGCCTGAAGTCTCCAGCGCAGGAGGCCGCGAGTTAAGGGCTGGGCCATCACTCTGGCAGCTGCTGACAAAGGCCCACAGGCAGGGTGGGATTAATGTCAGTTCAAAGAGATACTGGGTGGCCCACTGATTTCAAGGGTGGCTTCCAGAGATGATCTGGCCTCCCTACGTAGGTGAATGCTATTCATAGTTGCACAGATCAAAAGGAGGCCAAGTATTCTTTGATTATCAGACATTCACATTTTGTAAAAGAGCAGTTATTTCTGAAGTAGTTCTAAATGAGCATAGATTTCTGGAGCGTAATTTGTGATATGATTCAACTGTCCATTCCTAGGAATTTATTTCAAAAAAAGAACTGAGTAAATGTGCAAACACGTAAATGAAAAGGACTACTAATTTTCATTTTCATCAAATTAAATTTAAAAAGTAAGAAATTAGATGCTTCAAAAGTGAGGTAGGTTAACTAAATTACATATCCATTTAGTAAATTGTTGTATAGCCATAAAAATAATTTGTCTAGTAATACATATACTGACACGCAACACTTACGAACTATTGCTGAACAGAAAAGCAAGTAGAAAAAGAGTATGTTAGATGCTCCATTTCTGTTAACAATGCTTATGTGAATAATACAATTATCTGGAAAAGTATAGAGATGGTTGATGGTTAACAGTTGCTTTTCAATGTAATAAGATTTGCAAATGTATGCATTATTTTACTTATTAGAATTTTCTACTTTGTATACAATGAACCTGTATTAACTAGGCAATTAAAATTAAATAAAAATAACACTGAAGGCAAAGTGCTTAAATGACCAGGAATGAAACAGGGACTACATTTATCTTTTTCTCTTCAAAATGATCATTTCTGAGCACCTTGAACCCATGGAAAAGTTAACTGGGCACAGGAAACACTGGGATATGAGACACCTAGGTCTTGGGTTTGTCCAATCATATATTCCTTAGTGGATAAAGAACTGCAAACTAGGAATAAATTATACAGCAGGCTTTGTAAATATTTTAAACATTAGTCACTATCTCTGCATCCTGAAAGAATAAATAGTGGCTATCTTTAAACTACCTGTGAAATATAATTAGGCACAAAAAATTCTATTCAGATATCTATCTATCTATCTCTCTCTTTTTTTTTTTTTTTTTTGGTACTAGGGGTTGAACTCATGACTTGCCAGGCAGGCACTTATGTCATTGAGCTAAATTCCCAGTCCCCTAATTTTCTCTTGCAAGGTAAAACTTGAAGATTTATCCAAAATTAGTTCTATTTCTATAAATACTCTTGTTTTTTTCCCATAAAAGTAATAGGTTTACTAATGTTAAGAAAAAGCAGGAAAAGAAGAAAAACCAACAACTTCATTTTTAAGGTAAGTGTATGTAAGTTAAGATACAGTATCAGACTGCACATGTGTGTGTATAACAATAGGCCAGCAGAATAGAACAGTTTCATGGAACAACCATTTTGGTCATATTCATAGTTATTAACATTTATTTGCTTAACCTTGTTCTTTCCTCTCTTCAAGACATATATTTTAAAATATTTATTGATTAAATTTGCATTTGCATTATTCTGCTTTCCTATATTAGATTCTTTTATATTTTATTCAGGCAAAACTATACTCATTTTAAATTTAGCTAGGGGACAGGCACACTGGAAAGGCACTGGGAGAGTTACAACTTCTGTGTAATGCACTGAATATTATTAGCTGGCCCAAGGCAATGAGCTTAAATAATGTACTTTATGATGAGAAAAGCTGAGAGCCTTTAAATTCTATTGCAATAAAAAATACTCATCTAAAACATCTAAACCCAGCACACATGGCGCTAATCTATAAACAATGTTTAAAAACCACCAGGAAAAACAGTAATGGGATATGAAAGCAATTATCACTAAGATGTACACAAAAATATCTCACAAGGAATATGGCTGTGAAAGATTTGTTTATAGCTTGTACAATTTTACAGAAAACAAGAGTGTGCAAAAATAGTGAAATAATCATGTAAAAAACTCATGGTTTGAACTGTCTTAGGTTTTTGGTGTTCAATAAAAAGTCTGCTAAAATTCTGAAGTAAATATTCAAATTAAATTTTATAATTCAGAACTCAAGCATTTATATTCAAGAAAACTGTAAAACATTCTTTAGGAATATCCTCTGAGATATTAAATTTTAAACAATAATTAAAAATAATATTAAGATCATAGTTAAAGGTAATTAATAGTTGGGAGGCTATAAAACACTACATTAACGGATGGTAATCATTTCCAAATATGTTAACATTAAAATGTAGGTGAAATTAGCTCACATCTATTTTCCCCAAATACTTCTGAAGAAGGAAAAATTCAAAATCTTTTTAATTATTGCTAAATTTCTTAGCAATACTCCACTTAGAAACTGTAGAATACATATTATCAAAACTTTCCAAATGCAAAATTAATAACGTTTCAAGATCAGTTTAATAAGCCAATTTTAACGAGCATAAAAATATTTATAGCTTTGCTTGGTTATACGATATAGTGAAGCACTAAAATGCAATCAGCATTTCTATTGTGTGTGTGTGTGTGTGTGTGTGTGTGGGTGTGTGTGTTTGAGATGGAGGGGTCTTTTTGAGATAGGGTTTCACTATGTTCAGGCTGGCTTTGAATTCACTACATAGTCCATGCTGGCCTCAAACTCACAGCAATCCTGCCTCAGCCTCCCCAAGTGCTGGAATTATAGGTATACACTACCATGCTCAATTAGTTTATATATTTTTAAAGACAAATTTACTTTATGTACTTTAGGAAGTTTTAAAAGATTCTTTTAGGCATGAAAATGCTATACAGTTTGGAGATGCTATCAATTAAATTTAAAGTAATTTATTAAAGCATATCTTTAAGCACTGTGAGGCAAGAGGCCCCTCTGGAGATTTTTAGTAAGGGATCTGGCTTTGCTCTGTGGCCTTTCAATGTTTCCACAGGCATTTCTTCTGGTTGGTGGATGAGATTTTAATTAAGGCTTCCCCAACTGGTCAGTAACCTTTTAGCCACATCTGCCTTTCTAAGAAGACACACAAAGCTGCAAAAAGATGACAATTAGTTCCAGGGGCATGTTTAGACTTCCTGTGCAGGGGAATAGCTCATGTGCCCAGGGACACTTGCCCAGGAACATAGTACCACGCATATATGTACGATTTTGTGCACAAGTGGTCTGACTCTTACTGGTTCTCCCCGAACCCCTTGAGTTGTGCCAACTCACACTCAACCTCTTGACTTTGAGATTTACTAGAAGGCCAGTTTTACTTCTGAATTTCTTTCTTTTTTAAAAAAGAAAATGTGTGATGTGACATATGGGTTTAGTCTCCTGTATAGTCTCCTTCTAACTCATGACCCACACTTGCCAGGCAGGCACTTAAGCCACTGGGATAAATCCCCAGCCCTATCTCCACACTTCTAAACAACCATAAGAAACAGATTTGAAGTAAATATAAAATAAATAGTTCAACGTATCTATATCTTACATGAAAATAGTACTGCTATATTTCCATTTCCCCCTGTCTATTCTGTCTCATTTCATCTTTTACTGTGGTTAACATCACATTAATATTTAACACATCCACATGCTACCATGGAATTGAGTAAATTAAGAAAGGCAGTTAATTCCTAATGTGAGACATCTGTCTGAGAGGAAGGCACCGCAGCATCGTGAAGTTAATGAAGGATATTGCCTTAACAGCGCCTGGCACAAGTCATCAGTCGTCATGAAGACAGTGTACGTGAGAAGGAAATCATCGAGGAGGGTCTCTGCAAAGAAAGAAAACAAACAAAAGGTAAGCAAAAAGGTGACAAGAAGGCCAGCTGCTTATCCATGTTACCAAACAGTATGCATAGCAAAAACATGAGAAACCTTTCCTAGGAAAGGTTAGGACAGAGGGGGTTTGGCCAGAAAATATATTACTTACTAAAGACTTGAAACATTCTTTAGATAGAATGCCTCAAGCCTTGCTTTTGTTTTTCTTCCTTGCAAGGCTCTTTAAATACATGACTCTACCTTTTCTTCCCTTCTGAAATTGTTTGCATTTTCAGGTAAACATATTTTGAAAAGCCAATGCATAAACAATGTGTTTTTGAAAAACAAATTTTGTACGACTTCTGAGGTATATGCAATTGAGAATGAAATCTTCATGTTCTAATAAATTAAAGCTTTCCAAATCCATTTACTTACATCTGCTACAGGAACAATAGATAATAAAATCCAGAAGACACACATCAAGCCCCCAGGCCATTTACCTTCCTCGCTCAACTGCATCCATAAGAAGCTGGGAAAGTGATGCATGATTTTCTTACTATCATGAAGAGACGCTAAGCTGACTGCAGTTAAAATCCAGGAGGAAGTACAGCATAATACAGCACACTTCTCCCTAATTCATCTTCCTACTAACAAAAAGGGCCACCTCTTTGCCTTACATGTTCTCAGAAAAGTCTTGCTTACTTGTTCACATAATATTGAGCTGCTAAACAGGCAAGCTATGAAATCCAACATAACTTCCAAAATGACAGGATCATACAAGGGTGTGAGATAGTGAGTTTTAAATAAATGCCTCTGTATAGTCTCCTTAAAATTAATTTTATAAAACAATTTCATCCCCTTATCTTTACATTCTGATTCTCCAATTTTTAGTTTTATGCAATAGTAACAAATTACAGAGATGATGTGATTACATGCAATTATAGACTGAATACCTATACCTCCCCCAACTCTGTAAATTGAAACTTTATTCTCTAACGTGTTATTAGAAAGTGGAGTATTTGGGAGGTAATTAGGATTAGGTAAAGCCAGGAGGTGTATCTCTCCTGAGGGGGCGTAGAGTTCATAGAAGAATCCTGAGAGTCATTGCTTCCTGCATATACCAAGAGAACACAGTGAAAGGATTGTGGGCAGTGAACTAGAATGGAGTCCTCATAGACAGTGACTCTGAATACCTTGGACTTTCTGGCCTCCAGAATGAGAAATAAATGTTTGCTGTTTATATAGCATGCATATAGTGGCCTGTGCTGAGATATATACTCAGTAACATTTGTGTTCTCTAAGATCTACACTTTGTAAAATTGTCAGCAAAAATGACCATCTAGTACAGAGCTCTAAAGACTAGATAAAAGAAAACTTCCACAATGTTTAGAAAAAGCAGTTAAATTTATTGTAAAAGTTGATGCAAATAGAAAAACTATATTTATAGACCTATATATTTATAAATTTATATAAACCTTTATAGATACAAAATGTTTATATAAGTATCTATACTTATATAGTTGGTGAATGGCACCAACAGTAATATCAGCTGCAATGTTTTTATTTGTTTTCTTTAGCCACAAAACAGTGAGATAATTCTCATCTACATTAGGTAAGTGGTTGTAAATGGGAATGTTAATAGAAATCTTGCTTTTAAATTTCAAAGGTGCCATTAATTAAAATGAGGTGGAGATATTAATGAAGAGTCTGAGAACTTCTTCAGATATTTATAGCAATATTCTTATCAAGATAATGAATTTGACAATGGGACCTAATAAATAAAATTAAACAACCTATAATATTGTATCATAGTGTAATATACCAGCAATCACAGGTCTAACTTACTATTGCTCCATGGAAAAAGCAAGTCTCCAGGCTGTGACAGGCTTTGCAGGCTATGGGATGGAGAGGGCGAGAGGTGGTCACCAGTTAGGCTAGTACAAGAAAGCTATGGTGGGTGGTGCATGCCTGTAATCCCAGCATTGGGAAGTGAGGAGGGAGGGTCGCTATGAGTCGCTGCCTGTACTATACAGTGAGACCCTGTCTCAAAAAACAAAAAGAAAAGGAAAAAAACAAGCAACCAAGCAAGCAAGCTATAGAGGTGAGCCTGATCAGGCACTGCTCTGCTTGCATTCACACAAAAACTAGGAACTCCCTATTAGGGCTGGTTTACAAAATTGCAAAGAAATGCACATATAGGGAGAAGCTTTATTCTAAGATCTGCCCCTAAACTAGTTAACTTGGTAGCAAAAGTTAATGACTGGCCAACAGAATGAAAAATTAGTAGAGTGACTTTCATTATGATTTATAAAATAGATGAAGTTAAAATAGACCATTTATATAATGCTGACACCCTAGGATATTTTGGAAATACAGTTTAAAAACTATCACTTTGAATTTCTAATAAACAGTATCTCCACAAATGGTAAATTTTTGCTATGCTAAATTCTCTGATTTGTGTAGAAATTGAGCTTTTTTATTTACCTGTTTTTTTTGCATGTAATATTAGATACAAGCAGCAGGGACAACAGAGTAGCTTAAAAGATATTTTAGAGTCTTCAGTGCACTCTTATAGATAGGAGCTACTAATATGTAGAAGCCACTGGGAACAATATTGAGAACTTCACATGTCGGGCATTTAAAAATGTGTGATGTGACATATGGGTTTACATTCTGGTATGTTCTTACATTTAGCTGCATTTAATGAGGTTGAAACTATTCTCTAATCAAGATTTACTCTCATAATAGCAGGACTTAGGAAAAAACATTAACTTTGACATAACCAGTCATTCTGTGTTGGAACAACCTTGGATAATGAATGGAGCGACTACGAGAGTCTGGTTGGATGATGGCAAACTCATTAGGCATTCAGTTTAATTAATCAGCTCACATACCACAATATTTTATGAAGGGCTGTGACCCAGAAAGCTTATTTTCCTCGAACCTACTACCCTATTTAATATTCAGTAGCATTTACCTAATTATCTCTCTGCCATAGAAATATTAATTAAAATAAAAACAACAAGGCTACATAAGTACATCTCCAGTTAAAATCTTAATGAGTAAAATAGTTAAAAATCCTAATGAATAGGAAAGACTCCCAATACTCCTAACTCCAATCTTTCTCTTTTTAACTACCATCTTGTTCCTTTATTCTTTTTTCAGTATGTCTATTCTTTTTTACTATACATATTCTGAAAGCAACTGAGTGATATGAATAAAAAGTCTATAATCAGAATGATACACTTTAAATAAGTTAGTTTTATAATAGTCTTGCTTCAAAATAGGCTGTCCCATTGGTATTTAGAAATATTTTTAGAACCACAATGGCTACATAAATGAGCCCCTGATGACTACTAGCCAACAATAGCCATTTAGAAAGGCTCACAAATCCACTAGCATTCATACTAAAACACTATAATTATCTATTATATCACATAGTGCTTAATTAATAGTAATTTAAAACTGTAGGCAGGAAAGCACTTTTGTATGCATAAGAGCATCTTTCATCGAAACAAATCTAGAGTTGCCAATACACTAACATTCTCAATAGCAAGATGCATTCATTTTGATCTCTAACTCTGTGAACACAGCATGTAGGCATTAATATATCAAAGAAACCCTTTTCTTTAAAATTCTATTCATTCAATCTAATCCCAAATCATTGGTTCATCTCTAAACATTAGGGAACATCCTCTCTACTCTACCATGGGGTGATTGCTGAGGAAAGAACCCAGGGTCTCTTGCATGCTAGGTAGGTATATGCTCCACCATTGAACTGCACCTCTAGGCCCCCAAAAAGGAATATTTTTGTAGAAGCTTTTTGAACTCTTACAACATGAAAGTACCATTCAGATAATCATCAAAACAAGAAGGCACAAACTATTATAGTTTCAAGTTCTGTTGACTGAAAAATACATCAAAAGTCAAAATCTATAGTCTTGATGTAAATCATTCTAAAATGCAGTCTAAACTGGGAATGGTGGCATTCCCAGGGTTGGAATAGCTATCATTCCAACCCTCTGAGGCAGGGAGATCACAAGTTCAAAGTTAGCCTCGGCTGTGTAATGAGTCTGAAGCCAGCCTGGAACCTAGTAAGACCCTGCCTTTCCCTACTCCACCTCATAAAAAAATAAAAATAAATAAAATTCGGTTTACAATTAATCACACATACTGATGTAATAAAGGACGTTTCCAAGTCACCTCATTATACAGTTTTTAGGTTTAGGAAAGCAATTATCCATTTTTATTTGACTTTTTGAAATATATTCAAAACATTTTCTCATTCTCATTTTAAGCAATCACTAAAAATTCCCAATTTATTTCTGTAATACACAAGAGTCTCTAGAATATCCTAGAGTTATGTCAAGGTAGAATAGTAAGAGGTTTGCTTACAGATCCTTTTTTACAGGGTTCTGCTATGCTGATGAAGTCAAATTACAGAAACGGATCTACAAGTTACCAAAAGGGCTAAGCAAATGCTTTTGTTGGTTTAAAAAAAAAAAAAAAAAAAAACAAGAATGGCAAACAAAAGCCCCCAGATCCCTAAAATATACAAATCACAGGACTATAAGATTACTTGGGAATAATTATACAAATTTACCTCAGTTATTTTTTCAATACACATAAGCAAAATGCACTGCAGTAATGAAACCACTCATGCGCGAAAGCGAATTACCAAGAATGCAAATGGACAGTTCTGACGGTTGCCATCAGATCTAAGTGATGTAACTATTCAACATCTCTGTGCTACCTTATATTCCCTCAAGCACTGTGAGCAGTTTCACCCAGATGCAATGGATTTAAGGCACTCTTAAAATCTGTCCTACTGACCTTTGATTTTAAGGAGCCAAGATAAGCTTTGAACTGGCCTTGGAATGGTACAACTTACGATCATTTTCTGAAAAGTACCTGAAAGTACCTGAAAAGTACTGCCAAAATGTACCCTGTAACTTGATGAAGCACAAATAATTTTTTAGTGTCTGAAGTTTGAATCATAAAGTGCTATGCCACT